TCTGAATGATGTGTGAAAGTATGAGAGCCCTCCTGTGTGAGGACACATTTGTAATCTTATGTATGTCTCGTCTTAGTCAATAAAATGTTAGAAAAATAAATAAATGTTTATGAATGTGCAATATGTTAATTTCCTGAAACATATAAAGGTATCACTATAAAGTATTCATACCATTTTTGCTAAGTATCTATAGACAATTACATAGACAAAGTAACACTTATGTCAGACATTCTGTATTTAATTCAAATTACTGCAAATCTCCCATCAAGTTTACCTATAATCATGTCAGACGTGTGCAAAACCAGGTTGAAAGATTTATCTCAAGGAGCCCAAGCTCAAGTAAGACATGTATATTTATCCCAGTATAACTGGCTGCACCAGCTGCTGACATCATTTGCATAACAGAAGAAAGCCTATTATGTGGAAAGTGCTACAAGCGGTACCTCAAGCAAAGGCCAGTGCAATCTGAATTGTATGAACCTTCTGGTATGAGCACTCCAGATGATTTGTCGAATGATGCAGATGGATGCCTACACTGATTTAATGTCATCCGACCAACTACCACTAATCTCTGTTGAGAAATTATTTTATGGTGGCAATTCACATAAAAGACGTGTCATATGTGGAAAAGAGGGCACTGGGCTCTATGCACTGTACCCAACGTGCCAGGACAAACTTGATATTTTTCCATTTTCTATGGTGTCCCCCTGACACTCGTGTTTGCAATGACTATATAATTAGTGACTTTCTGAATACTTCTTTGACACTAGATCTGCAAACAAAGGAACCGTTAGCCCTTCATCTTCAAGAAAGAGCTAATCAGGTTATCAATGACCTTCTTGAACTTAGTCATTTCATTTCTTCTGGTATTCCAACAAACAAAGGCATAGATGTAGACCATCTCAGAAATGAAAAATTCAAAGCATGGACTGGTTACACACTTGAACAAATGCAGCAAATCCATAGCATTCGCTCCTCACACATCAATAGATGATCATGTTCCTCTACATTCCATGCTTTGTTTCTTTTATGGGTTAAACTGAAGACCAATATTTCATGTTCTCAACTTGGTGTCTTGTGTGGTCTGACAAAAAACAATATGTGTCTCACACATTTCATAGTGTCTTAAAAACCTTGAGACAGACCATTGCGCTACGTTTCCCTGGTCCAAGACACATTACCCGTGAGGTCGGTAAGTGCCACAACATTGCCTTTACAAGATGTTTCTGAGTGGACAAAGTAACTGTAATACTTGATGGTACCTATATTTATGTCCAAAAAAGTGCTGATCACCCCCTTCAATGATCCTCACTCATACTGTGGGCAAAAGAAGCGCAACTACGTGAAATCCATGAGCATTGTCTTTCCTGATGGTTATGTACTAGACACTATTGGGCCTTTTTATGGCAATGAAAATGATGCAAATATTCTTGGAACTGTTAAGAACCTGACCTTGTGGCTCAGTGAAAATGACAATGTGATTGTTGACCGGAGTTTTGGGATATGTTGGAGCTGCTGCGAGGTTCAGGGTTTTCTGTGTACGTGCCTTCCTATCTTCTGTCAGGTCAGACACAGCATGATACACTTACTGCAAACAAGGACCGCCAGTATACTAAGTCAAGATGGGTTGTGGAGAGCTACAATGGTCGACTGAAGCAGTCGAAACTGTTCAGAGAACAACTCAGCTCAAACTACTTCCTTACTGTCATAGAGGAACTGGTTATAGTAGCTACTGCTTCCTTGAATGCTGTACGTGAACCAATTTATGTGTCAACACCAGAGAGACTTGAGGGACCGTCGCCTTGTTGAGCGAATGCAATCCCGTTTGGCTCAGCCAAACACCTTGGCCTCAAGGATTGCAGATGGCTCTGGCCTTTCTAGGCGCAACAAGGCCAACTGGGTGAAACTTGATGCCTGTTCAATAGAGTTTTCAGTACTGGATATGGAATATCTAGAAACAGTAGCTTGTGGGTCATACCAGTTGAAAGTAGCACCCAGATATATTGCTGAGCATCTGACTCCTGCTGGTCTAGCAGCATGATGAAAATCTTTCGAGGCCAAATTCATTCAGGCAAAAATCACAGTCAAAATACAATGTTTGGATTGCGTTTGACAGAAATGATCAAGATGACCATGTCAAAGATTACAACTGTGTCTGTCCAGCGCGCAAGCGAACCGTTGGAATGTGTGCACATGTTGCGTGCATTTTGTATTTCTTGGGCAATGTCCAGCATCAAGATCAAACTAACCCATTCCATGCAACTCTCAAGTTCAAACAAACAATCACTTGAGCAGTTCTGCTTTACTAAAACGCAATGTAATGTGCTGCAAACTACAACTGTTCTGTCTCTTATTAGCTTCTCGAAGTGCCACAAATTATGGATCGGAACTAATTGGATTTTGCCCAATCATAATATGAAAGGAATCATGTTTTGGTGAAGAGGAATCAATTGTGTATAAATGTTGGGACATGGCCCCGGATGTCAAAAAGGGAGGGGCTCATTGGGAGAATTGAGTAAAATGTTTGAAACAGTTGATTCGCATGCGTTATTGGGCAGAAAGACTTAGTTTCTTTATTATATCCCATAACCATATATAGCATTGTTGGGCCTAAAGAGATATATACAATTGTGATGTAAGAATTGGCGCTAGGGTCTGGCCCCACTCAAAGGGACTTAGTTCCCTTGATATATCTTAGAAACAGTTGAGATTCCCACCCCATAATCATATACAGCAATGACGGGCATCAAGAAATAAACACAATCATGATAAAGAACTGTTGGGTGTGTCCCATTCCTCTGGACATAATTTCTAGGTTATCTCTTTAAGACAGTTGAGATCCCCACCCCCATAATCATATATATAACATTGCTAGGCATCAAGAGATAAACCCAATGATGATGTAAAATTTGGACAGCATCTTGGTAATTTCTATGAAACACCTGAGATCCCCACCCCATAAACATTTATAGCATTGCTGGGCATTAAGAGATAAATACAAACCTGATGCAAGCATTAACCCCTGGATTTGACCCCACCCCTTGGGTTTCTGTGTTATAGTTTTGAAACACTTGAGATCACCAACCTATAATTCTAAACACAATCATGATGTAAGAATTGGCCTTGGAGTCTGGCCCCACTCCTAGGGGGGACTCAGTTTCTTGGTAATATTTTTGAAACAGTTGAGATATCCACCGCAATCAATGAATAGAATCGCTTGGCATCAAGAGATAAACGCATTCATGTCGTAAGAACTGACCCTTGGATGTGACACACAGACATTATTTCTGGGTCATATTTTTGACATATTGAGATACCAACCCGATAACCATATAAACTCTTACCGGGCGTCAAAAGAGAAAGACAGTCATGATATAAGAATTTACTCATTGATCTTGCTCTACCAAAGAGGTTAAGTGACAAGCTGTAATTTCGAAGTATTTGAAATACCAAACCTATAGGCATGTATATACCATTGCTGGACTTTAAGATCCAAGTGAGTGATAGAGACCATATAATTATCTTGTTTTAAATTTCAAATACACATGTAGTGGGGTCAAGGTCACTGTAACTGTTTTAAGAAAATCCTCGTCAACACTCTCGTGGTTTTATTGGATCAAACGTAAGACAATTTGTCATTTTCTTAACATGGATTGCGAGGGGACTTCCAGAATCCTTTTTAATGATTTTTTTTATACTGGAGACTAGTTTGATTGTTGTGAATGAGATGCTTCGGGCCTCCCGTATGTCGTTTTGTTAGGTTCTACAAGTAATTACATAGGTAATTTTGTCTACCCTGACGAAATGACAGATTTGTCGGATCGCAACTTCTGGCTGACGCGTATCCTAATATCATAGAATGATGTAAAAGTCGCACAAGCTACTTGGCAAGTACTGTTTATCAGAGAGCTGATATGTATCACGCTACGACGAGCTGAGTGGGTAAGTATTTACACTTCATATCATGTGACCTTGTATTCTTGTGATATATCTCCAAGCGGAAAGGTATTTATACTTCAAGTCATGTGACCTTGTGTTATTATGAGGTAACTCGGACCGAAAAAGCAGTGGTGACATTGTGTAAGTTTACAGTGATTAATCAATACTGTTTCCAGAGTAGGTTGAATAGCGATCAGCATCTTAATAGTATCGTTAGTTGAACATATACTGTAATTTCACCTTCCTTAAACTCGAGTGTGAAGGATCAAGGACATGTTGAATCTGTACACGTCCCCTGAGATGTGTTCCATGCCCGTTAGTATGACTTGAGGTTTTATTGTAATCCTCATTTGAGAACGTGTCATAACTTCGATACACAGCGGGTGCTAGTGTCCAATTTGTACACTGACCACCCACACTGATCACAGGTAAAGGTCTTTTTCAACATAGCAGATCATGAAATACTGAGACGGGAAATAATTTGTAACTAATCTTCATTGTCGGATGGCAAACATGTAACTGAAAGCATATAATGCATAAGCAAAGGAAAGGCAGAACTCAATAAGATGCATATGTGTACGGAAGCCACGGACAATAATAAATAGAGAATATTGCAAGACGCTAAAACAAATAATATAGAATGGGAGAAAAAACGAAAGGAATGTGGGTAAATATTTATCAAAAAAAATATCGTCCACATGAGCATGTATGATATTTACGGCAACAATGGATTTTGTTCATAATTTGTCTTAATTTTTAGACTTGAATTTGGATTATGATTATATTTACATTTTGTTATTTTTTTATTACTATTATTTATCATTTTTTTATTCATACGTTGTAGATTTTACTATTCACAAACAATTAACTATACCAATGAAAGTAGATAGAAAAGTTTTTATGGATTTTCATGAGGGGGGTGGAATTTTTATTCAGTTAAAATCTGTTGTTACAAACAACTAACATTCTAGAATATGTTACCTTAAGGCAGCAAGATAGAAAGTAATAGTGGGTGTACAATATCTATGTTTTCTCTTTGTCAGTTATAGGTGTGGATAAAAATGGCCTGTGGACGCGTTCTTTTATTCCTGGCCGTGGGCTTTGTAGGCCTAGCCTACATCTTGTATACGCCTTTCCCTGAGGATGCCGTAGAACCACATATACAAATGGCTGTATCTCTTATTGTTGGTGCAATCTTTAAATTTGTAAGTACTGAGGTCCCATTTAAAGTTAATCTGTCTGCTTAACATTATTCCAAATAACATATATTGGAACAAATATTCAAAGGTAGGGTCAACGCCTATGGAGGTGAACTTTAAAATCTGATAAACACAGAAAGTTGCCGGTATTGGAAGTTTAAATCATGTTAGTGTCAGAATTTATTCTATGAAAAAATAGAACCTCATTGACTAACATCTGTATGGGTGTTAAAAGAACCGTGATATAAGGTCTATTAAAGCAGTTATAAATGTCATATATATTATTAAATTCTATCATCATTGAATGCTGCATAGTTCAACTACTATTTTGACACAGAACATAACACTATTTCAAGACAGATTTTTAGATGGTGGAATCAGAATCTTTAGGGAAGACTCTAACAAGTCAACCTCACTTTTCCTACAAAAAAATAAATAAAACATCTGTTCTTCCGCCTATGTAAATAAGTGTGTTTTAACATTATACCAAATTACATTTCATACTTCCATATGGTCGGTAACATTATAACGAGATAAATGAAAGGAAAGTGTATAATCAGCCATAACGAATGTTTTTACATCAAGTATTTTGGACTATTTCCAGTATGTATTACTCCGCTTCTTGACTTATAATTTCCCATCGTGTCAGAAACGCCAGTTTTCAAGTAATTGTGGACAAAGGGAGGCTACTCGAGAAAATGAATAATTTCAATGTTCATCAGTTATTCTGCTTCTTGACGATTTGTGCGAGAACATCTTCATACTTGAAGTATTAAACGTGCCCATCTGTAGGCGATGAACTAAACATCCTTTAATGAAACCCGATAAGCTTTTATTCAACCTCTCCGTTTATAGTTTTCTTCTCCATTTTGTTTTTCTGTTATTTATTGGGTCCTGAAAGGTTTGCGCGCTTCTGGTAATTTCCAGTTGGAGGGTAGATTATTTTTACACTTCATAAAATTATATTCTGATAACCATTTGCTTTATCCCTTATTTCAATACACCATACACAGCATCTTCAAGTGCCCTCGGCTCTTTGATTTTCTCTTTGTTGAAGATTTGAGCCGAAAAGAGACAACTACCATGTTTGACACGTTAATTTACATAGTTCTAAAACCGGTCTGTTTTTCATACTTGCATAAAGTTGACTTACAATATTTTTTTCAACGTGAGGATTTATGAAAAAAATGACAACCGGTATATTTGTCATTTAACACCTTTGTTGTCAAAAAAGAAAAGAGACATATTTTAGGTATCTGATTGTAATAGTAACCGGTTTTGCTTTTTGTCAGTTTCAATCATTGTGACACTTTCGAGAAGTAAAAGTGCAGTTGCTGTGTTCAATTAATTGAATTAAGATTTTTTCCAAAATGCATGTAACATGTACCACATATCTAAACTGTTCTCTCGCCCACTGCACAGAAACAGTAATAACCTTTGACCGGGGCATCTCGGTTATTCCTGTCAACGCAATCCAAACATTTTATTTTGCCTATTATTTGTATCTGGAACAAATTTGACCTCGAATGGGTTTTCAGCATGCCGAAAGATCCACATTTAAAGTCCCCATCCTATGCCACGTGCTCTGCAATTTACCTTGGCGCCACTTCAAGCTGATATGAACTTGGAATTTTTCTTTTAATTGCGATAGAAACAGGTTACACAAACTCATGGTCGTTATACACGATATTCTTTCACCTTTGATAGTTATCTCCGAGAGTTACAGAAACTCTGACAAAAGCTAAGATTTTCTGGGATTTTTTTTTAACTTTTCAAAAAATACTTAATTGAGTGAAAGAAAAACTATTTACAACAACCACTTGTTTTGTAACCTGTATTTAATTACTGTATAAAGAAATGGATAATCGTCATTTAGATTGTATCTAGTCACTGATTTGAAATCATATCATTGTGTTTTCGTTTCAGTGCGAATTCCAGGAGTGCGTTGGGTACAGATCGTTCACAAATTGTGCCAGGGATCCTTTCTACATAGACGCTTTGATGTACAAAGGAGCTGTATCGGATGACAATGTTCAGGTGAATTTAACAATAATCCAATCCAACGATCTACAGACATATTTGTCGCATTAGGATCAGAAGGGAAGATTTTTTAAGCCGTGAACGTTGATTTTTCTTTTCTTTTAAGGGATAGCTTTTTCAGTTTTCATTTTATTTCAAGATTTATATGAAGAAAACTCTGAGGTATTTAAATGACGCGGTTTTATTCCAACGAAAAACAGAGACCTTTAAGAATAAATCCTTCACAACATAATATGTCAATATGTAATTTTGAATTGGTACTGTGCAATACCCCTCCTATTACCGGCCGATAGACCTTGGTGGAACAAGTAGCATTTAAAACCTCAAAATGCACATGGAAATATAAGATTCCAAACAGGGGACCGGAATCAATATCAAAAGCAGCTTCACTCAACTCACTAAACCAATGTGTTCACCAACAAGACATAAAAAACGTTGAATGTTATCCCGTGTACACAAATGTCTGTGTCCCCTCATTGTGACCTTCAACCTTACAACATGAAAGTATTCGGGAAGTCATCCCCATTACTACAACTAATTCTGATGAATTAGAAAGTTTACAGGGATAAGATAAACGTGAACTAAGATATGTAAGGTACTGACTGAAGACAAAATACCTTACAGGTGAGCGAAGAGTTGTTCGATGGCGTGAAAGTGAGGCTGTACGTACCTCGTCAACAGACAGGTAAACGTCCACTTCCAGGAATTATATACCTTCATGGAGGTGGCTGGAGTTTAGGATCGCCAGGTGAGTGTACTAAATATAATCATATATGGAACGAACATTGTATACACACTACGTGACACACATTGAAGCATCCCTATTTGGGAATAATCTTATTTCTCCGAAACTGGATACAAAATATTTTCTGAGAAATATCAGCAATTACATTTCAGTAATTTCTATCAACAATTTGTTATTATAATTAACTATTGGATGTTAATGTTGGTAGTTTGTATCAACAATTTGTTATCATAATTAACTATTGGATGTTAATGTTGGTAGTTTGTATCAACAATTTGTTATCATGATTAACTATTGGATGTTAATGTTGGTAGTTTGTATCAACAATTTGTTATCATAATTAACTATTGGATGTTAATGTTGGTAGTTTGTATCAACAATTTGTTATCATAATTAACTATTGGATGTTAATGTTGGTAGTTTGTATCAACAATTTGTTATCATAATTAACTATTGGATGTTAATGTTGGTAGTTTGTATCAACAATTTGTTATCATAATTAACTATTGGATGTTAATGTTGGTAGTTTGTATCAACAATTTGTTAATATAATTAACCATGGATGTTAATGTTGGTAGTTTGTATCAACAATTTGTTATCATAATTAACTATTGGATGTTAATGTTGGTAGTTTGTATCAACAATTTGTTATTATAATTAACTATTGGATGTTAATGTTGGTAGTTTGTATCAACAATTTGTTAATATAATTAACTTTTGGATGTTAATGTTGGTAGTTTTTATCAACAATTTGTTATCATAATTAACTATTGGATGTTAATGTTGGTAGTTTGTATCAACAATTTGTTATCATAATTAACTATTGGATGTTAATGTTGGTAGTTTGTATCAACAATTTGTTATCATAATTAACTATTGGATGTTAATGTTGGTAGTTTGTATCAACAATTTGTTATCATAATTAACTATTGGATGTTAATGTTAGTAGTTTGTATCAACAGTTTGTTATCATAATTAACTATTGGATGTTAATGTTGGTAGTTTGTATCAACAATTTGTTAATATAATTAACTATTGGATGTTAATGTTGGTAGTTTGTATCAACAATTTGTTATCATAATTAACTATTGGATGTTAATGTTGGTAGTTTGTATCAACAATTTGTTATCATAATTAACTATTGGATGTTAATGTTGGTAGTTTGTATCAACAATTTGTTATCATAATTAACTATTGGATGTTAATGTTGGTAGTTTGTATCAACAATTTGTTATCATAATTAACTATTGGATGTTAATGTTGGTAGTTTGTATCAACAATTTGTTATCATAATTAACTATTGGATGTTAATGTTAGTAGTTTGTATCAACAGTTTGTTATCATAATTAACTATTGGATGTTAATGTTGGTAGTTTGTATCAACAATTTGTTAATATAATTAACCATGGATGTTAATGTTGGTAGTTTGTATCAACAATTTGTTATCATAATTAACTATTGGATGTTAATGTTGGTAGTTTGTATCAACAATTTGTTATCATAATTAACTATTGGATGTTAATGTTGGTAGTTTGTATCAACAATTTGTTATCATAATTAACTATTGGATGTTAATGTTGGTAGTTTGTATCAACAATTTGTTATCATAATTAACTATTGGATGTTAATGTTAGTAGTTTGTATCAACAGTTTGTTATCATAATTAACTATTGGATGTTAATGTTGGTAGTTTGTATCAACAATTTGTTAATATAATTAACCATGGATATTAATGTTGGTAGTTTGTATCAACAATTTGTTATCATAATTAACTATTGGATGTTAATGTTGGTAGTTTGTATCAACAATTTGTTAATATAATTAACTATTGGATGTTAATGTTGGTAGTTTGTATCAACAATTTGTCAATATAATTAACTATTGGATGTTAATGTTGGTAGTTTGTATCAACAGTTTGTTATCATAATTAACTATTGGATGTTAATGTTGGTAGTTTGTATCAACAATTTGTTAATATAATTAACTATTGGATGTTAATGTTGGTAGTTTGTATCAACAATTTGTTATCATAATTAACTATTGGATGTTAATGTTGGTAGTTTGTATCAACAATTTGTTATCATAATTAACTATTGGATGTTAATGTTGGTAGTTTGTATCAACAGTTTGTTATCATAATTAACTATTGGATGTTAATGTTGGTAGTTTGTATCAACAATTTGTTAATATAATTAACTATTGGATGTTAATGTTGGTAGTTTGTATCAACAATTTGTTAATATAATTAACTATTGGATGTTAATGTTGGTAGTTTGTATCAACAATTTGTTATCATAATTAACTATTGGATGTTAATGTTGGTAGTTTGTATCAACAATTTGTTATCATAATTAACTATTGGATGTTAATGTTAGTAGTTTGTATCAACAGTTTGTTATCATAATTAACTATTGGATGTTAATGTTGGTAGTTTGTATCAACAATTTGTTAATATAATTAACCATGGATATTAATGTTGGTAGTTTGTATCAACAATTTGTTATCATAATTAACTATTGGATGTTAATGTTGGTAGTTTGTATCAACAATTTGTTAATATAATTAACTATTGGATGTTAATGTTGGTAGTTTGTATCAACAATTTGTCAATATAATTAACTATTGGATGTTAATGTTGGTAGTTTGTATCAACAGTTTGTTATCATAATTAACTATTGGATGTTAATGTTGGTAGTTTGTATCAACAATTTGTTAATATAATTAACTATTGGATGTTAATGTTGGTAGTTTGTATCAACAATTTGTTATCATAATTAACTATTGGATGTTAATGTTAGTAGTTTGTATCAACAATTTGTTATCATAATTAACTATTGGATGTTAATGTTGGTAGTTTGTATCAACAATTTGTTATCATAATTAACTATTGGATGTTAATGTTGGTAGTTTGTATCAACAATTTGTTATTATAATTAACTATTGGATGTTAATGTTGGTAGTTTGTATCAACAATTTGTTATCATAATTAACTATTGGATGTTAATGTTGGTAGTTTGTATCAGCAATTTGTTATTATAATTAACTATTGGATGTTAATGTTGGTAGTTTGTATCAACAATTTGTTATCATAATTAACTATTGGATGTTAATGTTGGTAGTTTGTATCAACAATTTGTTATCATAATTAACTATTGGATGTTAATGTTGGTAGTTTGTATCAACAATTTGTTATCATAATTAACTATTGGATGTTAATGTTGGTAGTTTGTATCAACAATTTGTTATCATGATTAACTATTGGATGTTAATGTTGGTAGTTTGTATCAACAATTTGTTATCATAATTAACTATTGGATGTTAATGTTGGTAGTTTGTATCAACAGTTTGTTATCATGATTAACTATTGGATGTTAATGTTGGTAGTTTGTATCAACAATTTGTTATCATGATTAACTATTGGATGTTAATGTTGGTAGTTTGTATCAACAGTTTGTTATCATGATTAACTATTGGATGTTAATGTTGGTAGTTTGTATCAACAATTTGTTATCATAATTAACTATTGGATGTTAATGTTGGTAGTTTGTATCAACAATTTGTTATCATAATTAACTATTGGATGTTAATGTTGGTAGTTTGTATCAACAGTTTGTTATCATGATTAACTATTGGATGTTAATGTTGGTAGTTTGTATCAACAATTTGTTATCATAATTAACTATTGGATGTTAATGTTGGTAGTTTGTATCAACAGTTTGTTATCATGATTAACTATTGGATGTTAATGTTGGTAGTTTGTATCAACAATTTGTTATCATAATTAACTATTGGATGTTAATGTTGGTAGTTTGTATCAACAATTTGTTATCATAATTAACTATTGGATGTTAATGTTGGTAGTTTGTATCAACAGTTTGTTATCATGATTAACTATTGGATGTTAATGTTGGTAGTTTGTATCAACAATTTGTTATCATAATTAACTATTGGATGTTAATGTTGGTAGTTTGTATCAACAATTTGTTATCATGATTAACTATTGGATGTTAATGTTGGTAGTTTGTATCAACAATTTGTTAATATAATTAACTATTGGATGTTAATGTTGGTAGTTTGTATCAACAGTTTGTTATTATAATTAACACTAGGATGTTAATGTTGGTAGTTTGTATCAACAGTTTGTTATCATGATTAACTATTGGATGTTAATGTTGGTAGTTTGTATCAACAATTTGTTATCATAATTAACTATTGGATGTTAATGTTGGTAGTTTGTATCAACAATTTGTTATCATGATTAACTATTGGATGTTAATGTTGGTAGTTTGTATCAACAATTTGTTAATATAATTAACTATTGGATGTTAATGTTGGTAGTTTGTATCAACAGTTTGTTATTATAATTAACACTAGGATGTTAATGTTGGTAGTTTGTATCAACAGTTTGTTATCATGATTAACTATTGGATGTTAATGTTGGTAGTTTGTATCAACAATTTGTTATCATAATTAACTATTGGATGTTAATGTTGGTAGTTTGTATCAACAATTTGTTATCATAATTAGCTATTGGATGTTAATGTTGGTAGTTTGTATCAACAGTTTGTTATCATGATTAACTATTGGATGTTAATGTTGGTAGTTTGTATCAACAATTTGTTATCATAATTAACTATTGGATGTTAATGTTGGTAGTTTGTATCAACAATTTGTTATCATAATTAACTATTGGATGTTAATGTTGGTAGTTTGTATCAACAGTTTGTTATCATGATTAACTATTGGATGTTAATGTTGGTAGTTTGTATCAACAATTTGTTATCATAATTAACTATTGGATGTTAATGTTGGTAGTTTGTATCAACAATTTGTTATCATGATTAACTATTGGATGTTAATGTTGGTAGTTTGTATCAACAATTTGTTAATATAATTAACTATTGGATGTTAATGTTGGTAGTTTGTATCAACAGTTTGTTATTATAATTAACACTAGGATGTTAATGTTGGTATTTTGTATCAACAGTTTCATATTTTAACTCTTGGTTTTTTTTAAAGTGTTAAACTAGCTTTATCTATTTTCGTGTTAGAGATGTATGACCCATTGACCAGGAAGTTAGCGACATCCCTCACCGCTGTCGTCGCCTCGGTGGAGTAAGAATATTTTCGATTAATCATTTTCGGTTATATCAATAAATTAGTTTCTTGTATCAAAAATGTTCGTTTTGTCTTTTTAACGTGACTTTTTATAAGCTATGATACGAATTTTGCTGGTAAATGTAAGATACAATGTATTTTATCTACAGTATTTATGTTCTGAAGTTTGTTTCCTCCTAGTTACCGAATGGCTCCGGAATATCCATTCCCTGTGCCTTTTGAAGACTGTGTGATGGCAGCAAAGTATTTCATGAACAACGCTGAAAAGTTTGGAGTGGATGCCCGTCGGATTGCTTTGTCAGGTGGCTAAGTATACCATGAAACAGAAAAAAAGATGGGAAATTACTGTAGCGTCTTTATATCATTTCTTTATTTAATCACTTTTTGTGGGATATTGAATGGGTAGACTTTGATTGGAAGTTTAAAGTCACGTGGTACGTATTATTGATTTCACTACAGATAATGCAGAATTGTAAGTGACGAAAGATTGAAAGACAGACATTGTGTTTTGGAAAATATCAAATCTTCCGAATAGGGATGTTTTGCATCGGTGGCCCTTGTTATCACTCAGTATGATGGTTTATTTGTCCGAATCATTTAATCAATATTTTATATTCATAACGGAGGTGGCACCATGTCCGGTTCGCTTTAAAGGTCACGTTGTTGTTTCCATCAGAAATACTGCACAGGTCATGGTCACAGAGACACTTGTTATTTTCTTGGAAATTGTTTATCCTTGTTTTCTTAAAGCCCCAATATACGTAAAAATCACTATAAAAAACAAACTTTATCTTATTTTCCCCATAATACATGTAACAAAACAAATACTTTCCTTTAATAAAAGAAAATAAAACTGACTGTTTTCAATTTAAATAAAAATTGAAAAAATCGGAAGATAAACAATGTGGGACCCACAATAATTCATACATTACCGCTCGTAGCGATGACATTGCGCATGCGCATATTCCGCGTGTGTAAACATGGCAGACACAGTACAGACGTTCACCAGTCGCTTCCTTCTTTTCCAATCATACATCAGGCCAGTTCTGAATTCTTACGTTATAATTGTGCGTCGTATCGTTTCTAAACTAATTATTCCTTCTAATAATTTCCCAAAAACTGAATGTTTATCACAGGAATACCTCAAGTCTACGACAAGACTTCGCAAACAATGCTTGTAAACAAAAACTTACCGAAGACATATCTGCATGTGATTCCTCTATAAGTAGAAACCTCAACTCTCGCGAGATCAGGTCATGAACTTTCCGACGTGGTTCGGCAACAATCGTAATTTCGATGGCGGCGTGTTTAAAATGGAGGTGTGTTTACAAATAGCGAGTCTCAACTGCTCATATATCAATACTTCATGCACAAAGTCATGGTAACTATTGTTTAACTACATCTTAGAGAATATCTCAATAATTATGTGTGATTCTACACTAAATTTTTGGTGAATGTTACGTATATTGGGGCTTTAATCGAATCTGCTGGGTCATTTTTTGTATAGTATCGTCGTTCCCCCGTTTGCTCGCTAACCTCTATTTTGTTTCAATGTCTGCACATTGCGTTTAGAATAAACAACTCCTTAATGTGTGTATCTTAGTTGTAATCCAAGTATCGTCTCCTATATCTCATTTCAAAAAACAATATCAAATGAAAAGTTAACTTCAGCACTTTATTTTTTTATATCTACATCAATTATGACAGGGGATAGTGCAGGAGGAAATTTAGCGATGGCTGTTGGGACTAAGCTGACCAGTGAAGGACAAGCCCCTCGACTTCTAGCACTTCTATACCCAGCGTTGCAGATGGTGGACTTCAACACCCCAGCTTATAATACTTACCAGGCAATGCCGTTTCTGTTAAAGAAAAACAGAATGGTCAGATTTTACCTTACGTATGCATTTGGCAATGAAAAAGACATTGATAAATATTTGGAAAATAGGCATGTGTCTGAATCACTTAGAAATACCATCAATACGAAGGTTAGTAGGGACTTACTGCCTGAAAAATATCAGGACCTTCATGTGAAAGAACACGTATCTATTGATACTAATTTGGCACAAAAAGTGGAAAAAATAATTACCAACAAGTATTTGTGCCCTCTTATGCTTGATGACGATGAACTGTACGAATTACCGAAAGCTTATTTGATGACTTGTGAGTATGACCCATTACGAGACGATGGCCTCATGTTGGCCAAACGTTGGAAGGATATGTACTTTCCTGTGACACATGTACACTGGAATGGTGTACAACACGGATTTATAAATGCAGACGGTTCCAGACGTACAGCTGAAGCAGTAAACGACTGCATCAAATACCTCAAGAGTGAATTGTAATTAAACTTCTAGTTCGTCATGTTGTTAAAAGATCCTGTTAAATTATTCCATATGAAATTATCTTAATAAATCTAATTTAAAATGAAAGTGTAAATTACAATTGTTTTCATTTCATATATTCATTTATTTTTCTATTTCTTTCCGGCGTTGAATACGGCAATTTTTTTAATTCCAAAATTACACACATTAAAAAGACATATGTATATGTCATATGAAATGATGTCGATCAGCGCCCTGATGTAGTCGTAATTTTCAATCGACTTCTCAATAACCTAAGGGTACATGGTGATAATGCTTTGTCAGTACCTTGCTGAGGTAGCAATTTTCCTGAAATCAATGAGAATAGCCTATTATCTATGTCGTAACGGCCAAGCGTGTTGGAATTTTTAAACAACTTCTAAATAACATAGAGATCATAGATCACGATAGTGGACCATATTAATACATCTGTAATGATTTATGTCCAACGTGTGCGCCTTAAGAATTAAAAACCTTAGAAAAAAGCCAGAAAAAGATTTAAATAATACTTTATCTGACAAATATCAGTTTACTTTAGTTTTTTTATTTTACAAATATCTCAGTAGAATAATGTGCTATATCCCTGAGGAAGAAAGTACAAAAATGTACCAACACTGCCAACATCTAAATGTTGTTTACTAGATTGTCAATTATGTAATACTTATCTACAGGGAGTGATGTCAGCCATGCCTGTTATCTGTTATGTCTGAGTGGGATATAGAAACACATTTTTAATATTTGAGAAACTTTATATTCATTAGATAAGTCAAACGATTGGTGAATAAAACTCCTACATTTTGGTGTTTTACATCTAAGAACTGAATAAAATATTTTATCTCCGAAGTCTATATAAGGGAGGTACCGAAGTCGATAAAGGGAAGTACCGAAGTCTATATAAGGGGGTACCGAAGTTTATATCAGGGGGTACCGAAGTCTATATAAGGGATGTACTGAAGTCTATATAAGGGAGGTACCGAAGTCGATAAAGGGAGGTACCGAAGTCTATATATGAGAGGTACCGAGGTCTATATAAGGGAGGTACCGAAGTCTATATAAGGGAGGTACCGAAATTTATATCAGGGGGTACCGAAGTCTATATAAGGGAGGTACCGAAGTCTATACAAGGAAGGTACCGAAGTCTATACAAGGAAGGTACCGAAGTCTATAAAGGGAGGTACCGAAAGTCTATTATAAGGGGGTACAGAAGTCGATAAAGGGAGGTACCGAAGTCGATAAAGGGAGGGAGTCTATATAAGGGGGTACCGAGGTCTATATAAGGGAGGTACCGAAGTCTATATAAGGGAGGTCCGAAGTTTATATAAGGGAGGTACCGAGTCTATATAAGGAAGGTACCGAAGTCTATACAAGGGAGGTACCGAAGTCTATATAAGGGAGGTACCGAAGTCTATATAAGGGAGGTACCGAAGTCTATATAAGGGAAAGTACCGAAGTCGAGGGAGGTACCGAAGTCTATATAAGGGAGGTACCGAAGTCTATATAAGGGAGGTACCGAAGTTTATATCAGGGGGTACCGAAGTCTATATAAGGGAGGTACCGAAGTCTATATAAGGAAGGTACCGAAGTCTATACAAGGGAGGTACCGAAGTCTATATAAGAGAGGTACCGAAGTCTATTTAAGGGGGTACAGAAGTCGATAAAGGGAGGTACCGAAGTCTATATAAGGGGGTACCGAAGTCTATATAAGGGAGGTACCGAAGTCGATAAAGGGAGGTACCGAAGTCGATAAAGGGAGGTACCGAAGTCTATATAAGAGAGGTACCGAGGTCTATATAAGGGAGGTACCGAAGTCTATATAAGGGAGGTACCGAAGTTTATATCAGGGGGTACCGAAGTCTATATAAGGGAGGTACCAAAGTCTATACAAGGGAGGTACCTAAGTCTATATAAGAGAGGTACCGAAGTCGATAAAGGGAGGTACCGAAGTCTATAAAGGGAGGTACCGATAAAGGGAGGTAAAAAGTCTATATAAGGGAGGTACCGAAGTCTATATAAGGGAGGTACCGAAGTCGATAAAGGGAGGTACCGAAGTCTATATAAGGGGGTACCGAAGTCTATATAAGGGAGGTACCGAAGTCGATAAAGGGAGGTACCGAAGTCTATATAAGGGAGGTACCGAAGTCTATATAAGGGAGGTACCGAAGTCGATAAAGGGAGGTACCGAAGTCTATATAAGGGAGGTACCGAAGTCTATATAAGGGAGGTACCGAAGTCTATATAAGGGAGGTACCGAAGTTTATATCAGGGGGTACCGAAGTCTATATAAGGGAGGTACCGAAGTCTATATAAGGGAGGTACCGAAGTCTATACAAGGGAGGTACCGAGGTCTATATAAGGGAGGTACCGAAGTCTATAAAGGGAGGTTCCGAAGTCTATATAAGGAAGGTACCGAAGTCTATATCAGGGGGTACCGAAGTCTATATAAGGGAGGTACCGAAGTCTATATAAGGGAGGTACCGAAGTCTATATAAGGGAGGTAACTACTGCTTTAAAAGGGAGGTACGTAAAGGGGGCATTGTATGCATATCCCAAAGCGTTCTAGAACTAAACAAAATTGATGTCTGACCCTTACTAATATGTATAAAATATCACGAGTTGATACAAATGTTATCATATTCCGGAATCGGTGATATAATGTGCTGTAAATGTGTTTAATGAATATATCCTCTGTTGACATTTGAAGTACTTCACCATTTTGCTCGTTAAGATCATTTAAAGACAAAGAAAATGACAACAAAGAACAGTATACTAGTAGTTACTTCATCATCGCCATAGTACCAGACTTTATGGTCACAGGAGGACTCCGTACATATAACGGTTTATCACGTGACCAGTGCGTGACATAACAGATTGGTAGATTCACATAGAACGAGACACGTAAGTAAGAACCGTATAAACAGTTTAAACGTAGAAAATATCACGATAAATGTGTATGTTACCTTTTTCACTTTAAACGAATGTAAAATCAGTTATGACAACTGTTAGCTATCGTGTTTTATCTTGAATTCATACGCATCTTCAATGTGAGTTCTATTAACACCTACATACTTCCGGGTTAGATTAATAACTAGAAACAACGGAATGACAAAAAGTAGTCCACCTACCTGTACTGATATTATCTAACTATTTTATCAACTCCCGTTATTCAAGAAGGTGTAATCGAACAAAATAATTCTGTGTCTAGAGCGAGTTACCAGTTTTACCACCTCGAGATAACAAACAAAAACACTTATTACTTTATCATTTTACCACCTCGAGATAACAAACAAAAACGCTTATTACGTTATCATTTTACCACCTCGAGATAACAAACAAAAACACTAATTACCTTATTATATTACCACCAACTCTATTTATTTCAAACAGTAAAATTATCAAAAATTTTAAAACCAAGTCCAGGGACTCAGTGTATTAGACATAAGTAAGATAAGCTAGGTGGGATATTCCTACGGAAGCGGATACGGATCTGCCCTCGTAACCATTGATGCCTTAAAAATAATTAATCAATATTGGAGTATTGTTGCTAAAATGTGGACATGATGACCAGGAACTTCCAGAAAAGTTAGTGACACTTGGTAATGTTGTCAACATATCACTAATAAATCCGTATAACTGGTTGTTTGTGTCGCCTTGGATATTACCCCGATTAATAATAAATTTATTGATAATATCTGACATTTCAGGCTTTGATTATCATAGCAGAATACATGAATAATGATCTGGCACGTCGTTGTCGCCATCATTATTGTTAAACTTACATCGGCGGAAAATGTGTACTGCGCATGCGCTGTCGGAAACGCAGCACTATACAGGGAAGCGGGACGATTTGAGACGTTGTTTGCGGTCATTCCCACAGGCATGTGTGTGCAGTACAGTAATGGGCTGGAATTCGTGACTGTGGAGAACACTACCTGGATCTCACTGGAGTATGGAGGACATGTAAGAATACATATATAATTACATCAATAACATATTTTGCACATAAAATTAGGACAATATTACAATGGCTAAAAAATTATCAATTAGTCTTCAAAATGTAAATAGATAACAGTGGTTCACATTTCTTTCAGTGTTTTTTTAAATTACTTTCTTTATATGAAAAACCTATATAATTATAAACACCGATTTTGGCTCAAAACGAAAATTCCAACACCTGACTATAGTTTCCTGGGTCGTCTTATATATGTAAAACTGACAACTTGTATTTTATTGTACGAAATAGGAAACTCATATATGGCAGGAAAGGGATAGTTTCGAGCTAAACAAATGAAGGTAGATTAGGAGAGCACATACCAATATATAATGCACATGTATTTCAATAAGTGTCAAAATATCTCTACTGTTTATTGCAGAGTGGATTCGCCGACTTCAGCTTGCTGTCACCTGAAGTTTGGAATGGTAATTCATCTGATGGGATGTACACAATATATAATATTACACTATCGGACATTTTCCCGTCAATAAATACAGATTATTATAATTATATTTTCCAAGTGTTTTGGCGTGTAGCAGCCCGACGTGAAAATGATTTGAACATTTACAGACATGTCCTCATTAAAGTGTCAGTTTGTATTAGTTTCATATGCTCGTTCTGTTCTGAGATTAAAAAGATTAAATATTTCCTAATCCTAGGTTGTTATGGCGAGACTGTATAATGTATTTTGTTATAACGTAATACAATCATGTCAACATGCATTAAGTGAGTTTTCAATCATGAAGGTGTTTGTCCAACAAGACTACGTGAAATCCGAGCTGGCGGAAGTCACTGTCCTCGAATCGTAACTCGAGAGGAGTGGGGAGCAAGGTTACCATCACATACCATCGGCCATCTTCCTGAAATTCCGCAATATGTATTCATACACCATGGTGCCGGTTCACGATGTCATTCGGAAGATGAATGTGCAGCTAAAGTTCGATCCTATCAGGAGTTTCACATGGTTACCCGAGGTAAGAATGAACAACACTAACCACAATTTATCTGGTGATTCTCTTTCTTTTTCCCAAAATGCTACAGTTGAATGATTTTTAAAGCTTAGGCACCGTTAACATCGGTATGATAAGCGTGAAAATAATTCTACAACGAACCTCCGGTCAGTAAAAATACGTTTGCAAAATTACTAAATCTGAAACCGTAAATTCTGGGGGAAAAAATCGAATGTCTGAAGCCAAAGGTCTCCATCCAATAAATCGGTGTTCAGGTATAAGCTTACAGATGTTAACTGGATGATTAATAGATATTCTCGAAGGGGAAAAACTGAACAACGTGTACTTTTCATTTTCAGCAGCATTTTAAACAGTGGCAAAATGGCAAAACGCCATAGAATGTCACAGGGCAAAAATGGCGTTATGTGCTTTTTGTGCGATTTGTCTGAACAACGTGTATGTGTTTTATATATATATATATATATATATATATATATATATATATATATATATATATATATATATATAGGAAATAGGAAATCGTGTAAAAAACACACAAGTTAATATTATCTTCAATTCAAATTTAGAATTAGATACAGTAGAGCCGAATCATGAAAGAATTGGCTATGATACTAAGGGCTTACTTGTTTGAAATCTACGAGGCGAATGTGCAGTCTAACCGTTCAACAATGCAATGCCAGACACACATAACACGTCGTTCTTTGGTAACAATAACATTTTATCAGTCCTTATTGGCCTAACTCGCTGATGCAATCTATGGTGTAGCTTGTATGGACAGTCGGCTCGACATACTAAAGGCACATGCGGTATTAAATAAATCAAAAGGATCTTTCCTGGTTTGAAGTTAGGACAGAAGAGGAGATTCACGACTGTCTAACCTGAGGCTTTGCCGAGGAGGAGATTCACGACTGTCTAACCCGAGGCTTTACCGAGAAGGAGGTTCACGATTGTCTAACCCGAGGCTTTGCCGAGGGGGAGATTCACGACTGTCTAGCCCGAGGCTTTACCGAGGAGGAGATTCACGACTGTCTAACCCGAGGCTTTGCCGAGGAGGAAATTCACGACTGTCTAACCCGAGGCCTAGCCGAGGAGGAGGTTAACGACTGTCTAACCCGAGGCTTAGCCGAGCAGGAGGTTCACGACTGTCTAACCCGAGGCTTTGCCGAGGAGGAGGTTCACGACTGTCTAATCCGAGGTTTGCCGAAGAGGAGGTTCACGACTGTCTAACCCGAGGCTTTGCCGCGGAGGAGGTTCACTACTGTCTAACCTGAGGCTTAGGCGAGGAGGAGGTCTTTTGTCAGGGGTTGCATACAACCTAGGTGAGCTGTCACGAATTTTATAGATATATATACCAGCTGTGATTTTTTGTTTGCCTTTCTAATTTTTGTCTGGGTCAGAACAGAGCTTGACATCGCCCAAACAGAGTACTCTGTGCTCTTCGCCGCCTTCCCTCGTCCCAAAGTATAGGGAGGTATTGAACCACAGTGTATTGATAATGATATCGGGAGTGGAATTTCCTAATAATTCTTGTTTATACAAGATGTCAGTTTCAGAATCTACAATTCTGTCTGCTGCTCGAAGCCGATTTCTTAATTCTTTTTGAAAATCTTTCTATTTTCTAAAAAGACTTCACAAATGCCTGCAGATTTATACCCAGATATAAAACTTATGCCTTATCGGTTCCGTTTGAGAAATCTCTCAAATGATCCTAACATTCCGTCAGATAGTGAGGTTTTTTAGTGTGTTTTGATTTGTCGAATTATTGATATTTTCCTTGTCCATTTTGACGAATCTGGAGGATGAAACGGCAGACTTAGGCCTCGTTATCTGTGTGGTTGTAGTAGACAATTCGCCATTAACTGGGGATGAATCCCGTAGGGTAGCAGCTGTAACAGTAGCTGATGTTTGGGAAATATTGGCGGCTACACCCTATCTTAAGATAAACTGAGAGAAGAAAAAGACACCCCAGTGATTTTTTTTTTTTTTTTTTTGTAAATAGGAAGGCAAAATCATCGTCGAACATTCCTCTCACTATTGCTTGCTAGCAGTAACATTTTTCCACTTTCGAAACGATACACCTGAAATACGCTATATGTTACAATAATTTTCCCATTTGACCGGACGGTCACATTATCGCAAACTTCAAACATGTCTTTCTACCTTGCACTACTCAAACTCAATATCTTGTGTCTTTGCAGACCATGTATGTGTTTTGTTTACGCATGCGTTAATGTTTTACAATTTCCGGTATAGCACGTGTTTGTGCGTGCAGATTGTCTATGCAGCAGTATATCTTGCCCTCACTGGACGAGCGGGTATTGCGTCATCACCCTATCCCAGAGATCGCTGCGTGTGTTGTCCATGGTTTTGATTTGTTGATGTTGTCGAGACTTTCGCTGATATATCGTTATACAAGTCTGTTTATAGTTAGAAGATGAATGTTTTGTTCGCTTTGTTACCGAAGGTTGGCTACAACCTACAGACTAAAGGCTTTACTTAGTTGTGGTTGTAATTGCTTTAATAGTATCTGCAATCTTTTGCCTTTCACCTGTTTAGGTTGGTGGGATATTGGGTATAGCTTCGTAGTGGGTGAAGACGGTAATGTCTACGAGGCCAGAGGATGGGACAAGATTGGAGCTCACACCTACGGTCGCAACACTGTAGGAATAGGTAAGTTTACTATAGATGTGGATGTTTGTCATTTTTTTCAAAATGAAAATGACATAGGGTTGGATTGGAAGAATTGGATATAGTTTGTGGTGAACACGAAAAAAATAAAAACTTATAAGTTTTGTTTCATAAAAGTTCATGTGAAATTAAAACTCATTTCAGAACGAATGTGCGATTTATATTTCACGTATTTTACGATAATCTTTGATAAGTGCAGATTTTTCACACGATTTATAAACATGCACACAGGGATATCCGTCATAGGCGACTTTCGGACACAGATCCCAGACGACGCAGCACTACATGCAGTTATACAGCTGATTGCGTGTGGATTAAACACTGGTAAGATACAGACGAACTACATCATACAGGGACATTGTGACGTGGTTCCTACAGAATGCCCGGGAAACGCTTTCCTTGACATCATCAAGTCATGGCCTCACTACCATCGTTCGAACGACAGCCACTGTCCACCACTGGATGAACTTTCGTAACGTAATTAAATAATTACATCTTATAACAGGTCTCAATAATTATCTTCATATTTGTCGCCTTGTACATCTGTAAATCGCAATTAAAAATTATTTTAAGCGCTCATATACAAGACATCATTTTTTCGTTCATTTTCATTCTTCGGTGATGTAGGAACAGGCAGGTCATGTCTCCTTGAAAGAGTAGTAGAGTCCAGGAAATGAAATCACCTTTAGAAATTATTTGCACTACAATACCACACACACATATATATATACATTCGAACATCTATGATGTCATTGGGAAATACTAGTTGACACGTCCTATGCCTGATGGTTTTCACTAGACGACCTGGATTTGATCTCCATTTACATCGCATGTAGTATCGATGAATAAGAGGACCATTGCCTTAACTATCTTGGTACTTTTTGAAGAACTAAATTCTGTTGCTATCTTCGATTTATTTCGTTTATTTTACGGTACTTCCAATTTTTATATATACTGAATATATTTTGAATCATAAATTATCATAATCATCTGTGACGTTTACATCAGACCCAACCTGCAGTTCTGCGTGTCGCCGATCAGCACTGTTTGAAAGCTGAAAACACCAACAGTATTATATCTGTGCATATGTTCCACGTTTGACACATTTGACCCCCGTGACCTTGGCTATGGGTGAGCTAATAACGAAACGAAATTTCAAACAGCCTCGTTGAACATAAAACTCCACACTGGATAACATTGGGAACGACTTTTTACTCACTATGTTTATGGCGGACAGGATTTGGCAGCAAATATCGGTACGTATGTATACCACTCACCAGGCAGACACATACGTACAGTTCATCTTGTACAGAAAGTGAAAACTTGTCCAAGAAATAATTGCAACGGACACTGTATAGTATCTTGATATTTTTATCTATCCATTTTTTGTGAAAGCTTTACTTCGTCCTAACCTTCTATATCATTCTCAAAACATGAAGGTAGGTCCTGGCGTACAATTGATAGGATCTTTCTCTTTTTACACATATTTTATAACTTGTGACCGAAGAGAGTCCGGCCTGGACTAATTACGTTTATAATAAAGTTTCGTTTGAAAAATGTGAAACTAGTGGCAGTATAATAGCTTCACTTCTTTAACACACCCAAACACTCCCAATCACCATTATCACAACTGTAATGAACACATAACAACATACACGTTAAAATCAGAGCCAAACGCTTAGCGCGTTTGTGTCAGGTTTTACATTATATTCATTCTACAAAAATAAATTACTTATATAACACTAAATAAATAATTCTGGGATCTCTAATACAAGCACCTGCCATTTAGCAATATCATAGGACAAAGTTATGTACCAACGTACTCGTCGGTGTCCAGTACTCATACTAAACAGAAAACGTGTACATCACATCCGGTGGACATCATCAATGATTTCTTCATCCTTTAATTTGCGATATAGCACTTTCTCAACAACCCCTCTCAAAGTCATTCACTAGCTGTATTGTGTTAAACAATCGTAAAACAATATGTTGACATATAGGCTAATATCGCCTAGCATACAGACATATTCAGTAATACACATCATCCTTCGTGTTGTAATTCAGACAGAATAAAACAAACATTCACCTGATTTGGAAGCAATGATGACGTCACCACATGGGCACACATTTTGATGACGACCACCTCTATCCAAGCTCCTTTGTAATAACATTCAAGGTTAATTACAAAACGTAAACTCACATTAACATATTTTTAATAGTTTCTGACAGAGGTACAAAGAATTAATCCACACACGTCCTTTTCCTATCTGTGATAATAGTTGGCACGACAACTTGTACATTACGGCCACATCAAACGAGTATTTTACAGATGACGATGAACACAACTTACAGCGGTGAGAGATGATACGAGTATTTTGCTAGATATTACTGCTAACTATCAAACAGAATTTGGTCCAGGAATACTTCTATATGACAACACAATGTCATGCATGTGATATTTGGTATGGCAAACCAACGATCAGACCTTGGTATTATAAAGATCATGACGGTCATGAATGTACACTGCTAATGCCAACATCTATGAGATTCTTGTTCGTGTCAGATCATTGATCACATATTTTTCGTCTTGAATTCATGAGATTCTTTGTCGTGGTAGTGAATGTATCAATGTCATACATCTGTTATCTTTTTCGTCGACAGTAATGGTAGTGGTAGGTCGAGGCTATAGGAGTCGCTCACAGTTATATTATCGATATCTACATCATCGTACACATCAAAGTCACTGACAGGGTCCATAGCGAAAAAATCGTCATCACTCATCATCCCCGGCCTGTAGTTATCGTACTCCGATTCATAAGCGACGGAGCCGGAATCAAGGTTAATGGCCGGATCACTTCGCGACATTTCACTGCTGCTAGCTAACGACGATATACTTAAACTTTCTAGTCCTAACGCATTCCTTCCGGACAAGAATTGTTCTATTCTATTGGCATACATAATGTTGTTCATAAACGCCCGCTGCTTTGACTTTGGACTACCACACGCGGAAGAGGCAGCTGAGGAAGCGTAGTCCTCTCGGTCACTAGGAATATAATCCAGACTCCTGCAATGCCTCGGAGGAGTATTAACGTGACCTCGGCGTTTCACTTGGAAAGGATTCGCATTCCTACTGTGTAATTTATGCGGTGAATCTCCAAATAATTGCAGCTGGTTTGGTTTCTTAGCTGGGGATGCCGAAGTAGTAGACTTTCGTTTAGGACTTCCGTGGTGTCGTGATGCGCCTTGCCGGGCAACAAGTTCATTTGATAACACGTTGTTACCATGAGCTGGGGGCTTACCGTTTACGACGTTTTTCTCGCCACTTGATTGAAAATGTTTTTCCAGATCATTTTCCTGTGACTGCTCGGATATCCGGAGTTTATCGAGATCTGAGGAAACAGGGCGTTCTGCTGCAAGCTCTTGTAGTAGCTGCGTTAGTGATGAAGATGCCGCACTACTAAGAATGGGAAATTTTGGTGTGGGCGGTCCTCGTGGTATGCTACATATTGTGTCACTGGACCTCGAAAAGTTTCTGTCCAAATGTGGGACCATAAAATCGGTGTTGGCAAGAAATGCACGTGTATAATGCTCGTACCCGCCCTCTGAGGGAAACGACAGCTGTTTTACATACGCTGGTCTAGACAGCTTCAACTCTATTGGTTGCAGCAATACTACAGAAGAATGCTCGCTCATTTGCTTAGAGCTTGTAGATTCTTTGTCGTCGTCTGAATGAATAACAGGACACAGAAAGTCCATGTGTCTTAACGATGGTTGTAATGCTTTTGATTTCATTCTAGGACTAGAGTTACTCCGCCTGACACTAGGTGGTTTAGAGTCCATATTTTGTCCGTGTGTCACATCTGATGGTATACGCCTCAATGGCAGTGCATTTCCTACATTAGGAGTCGGTTGCGTGGTCTCTGGACTTGGAAGAATGGACATCGTCCTGCCATCAATATTCGCTACGAGGGCGGAGGTAGACGTGAGAGTCGATTGTGACGAGCTACTACTTGCTCGAGAGCTTGAAGACTTGCGACGCGTTTCCTTCGCAAGCAGTTTCGGAGGCACAGGTGGTGGAGGGGGCGAACATGTGGGTGGAGATGTTCTACACTGTTGCGGTACGTAATCATGTCGTGGCTTCTCCATCAAAGTAGCCTTGGTAGGAGTACCGACCGGACTTAGATGTGGGGATGAGGTGGTGGCTTTCTGAGGACTCAGAGGTTCTCGGTATGTTGCCGTTACAAACTTCTCCTCTGGGGGAGGTGAGGGAGCCTTGAATTTATCTAGTGGTGACAGCTTTTGGACGGATTTAAGAGGTCTGTTGGGTTGCATTGGATCTACGACTCTTCCCAGTTCTTTCATAATGTTTGACATTGCAAATCGACTTTCTGAGGAAATTTCCTCGTCGGGTTCGATATCTCGAGGATTATAATCATTTGGCATGCACGAGGGGTACTGACTAGAATGAATACTTTGAACATTTCTCGGTTGGTGACATGGAGCTGGGCGTATGGCATTTTTCATGGGTGGGGCTAAGCCAGAAAGTACCAATGGTGTTGGTCGAATGATTGGAACAGTAGGGTTGACAACCTGACACGGCTTTGATGTAGCCATGGGTGTATGCATCTCTCTACTCGTCTCTTTTGATGACTTTCTGATAGGCTGTACTTGTGCATACTGGGGTGGCTGTATACGACTCCTGGAGCTATTACTGTCAGCTGAGTTGTGAGAAGACTGGGACACGTTAGAAAGATTACTAGGATTACGACGAATATTTGCTGGTGCAAAATCCTGGGACTTCTTCGACACGTCGTTGTTGGCGCCAACATTAACAATTATACCCATACTATCAGCATTATAATCGTCCTCGTATATGTCTGACATCCCGCGATTCTTGTATCTTGGAGATAATTGTCCATTAGAGGATGAGGGCAACATCTGACCAACGGGAGCAGATGCTCTGTGATTCCCCCTTTTATTACTGTTACTTCCACGAGAAGGACTAGTTGGACTATTTTGTATTTCTCCAAATCGACCTCTGGGAACATGTGGGGGATGACCTATGCTGCATTGTTCTGAAGACGCATTAGCACCATTTCCATCCTTTAAGCTATCAAACAATGAGTTATGAATAGGCCGCATGTTTGTTGACTTTTTATTAGCGAAGTGTACAACTGGTAGTTCCGGTGAGTCGATTCCGCCATATGTAGATTCTGTCTCTGTTTCTGAAATGTGACCTGTGAGACAGGTTGGTAAAGCATGATTGGTAGATTTACGAGTAGTATTTCGTGGACTGTCGTTTGTGTTTGTGTTGCTGTACCGTTTCCTGTTGAGACTTCCTGGTGGTGTTGGGAGACCCTTGGATGAGTCCAGGCTATTCTGTCGCTCACCGACAACAACGGGATACCCCAAGCCCGGTCTCGACTGCGACTTCAGCGATTCACTTCGCGATACATCCCGTGGCTGCGTGCTATCTTGAGATGACAAACTGAGACCACTTTGGTTTCTAGACACACCTAAATTTGTTTCCAGATGCCCATGTCCACCACTGAGAGTACTTCCACTGAATGACTCTTTCGAGGGAGGGCGAAATAAAACTTGATTACCAGATGATAATGTTGGTGAAGATGGACTAGGAAGGACCCCTAAACCTCTTCGACCTTGTAGAAAATAGGTAACCATCTCCCCTTTACCTTTGACTTTGATTCGACCTCTACATTTGAAGTCGTATTGATGCTTCAGGACACTGTAGACATCCTCTGTAACCTGTTAAAGACAAGAAGAGTAAAGTGTAAACTACTTTCTACTAGATACATTGTTTATTGGTCTTGACATTTCAAACATAGTCAGGATATACAATCATGTGAACATAGTCATAATTCAAACTCAAATTCCATAAAATTAGGGCTAATTATGAAAAAAAGAAAGATTTACACGGAGACCCCTTGTAAATATTCTAGGAGAAAAAATCCAAGCGTCTTTTGCTCCATCAACGACATTCACCATATAAACCTTGATCAATCCAAGTAAGTAATGTTACATTCGCAAATTAGAACAAGGCAGGCAAAAAGGAAACCAACTGGCAAAAAACACTTCTACATGATAAAACGCCATTTAGACAAAGGTCGCACAAATGACATAACAAATACCTGTATATGGTTAAGTTTCCCAGTACTTTCCATACGACTGGCAACGTTGACCGTATTGCCCCATATATCATACTGTGGTTTTCTCGCCCCTATAACACCCGCTACTACAGGCCCGATGTTCATACCTACAACAGCAAGGAAACAACATGAGAGATTAGTGATCAACATGTATACTTATAATACTTAACGATAGTTTAGATATTTATAATCATTACAAAATAACTACAGAGAATCTGTATTTAAGTAGAAATCTGTTGACATGTCCGTATTATCTTCTCTAATTTCATATCGTTTATTCCTGCAAAAACAACGAAGAAAAAATCGAATAGATAAAAGAACGTTATTCAAATATGAGTTCGATGGAACTAACGGAAATACATAATGAAATAATGATTGACACAGATACCGTTGGAAAAGAATATAGAAAAAAGACCAGATGTTCCGAGTAAGCATTTTCTGCTTCAGGTACACCCGCCTGATAAATCTGGTTGATCCGAGTAAGTAATGTCACGTTTCCAAATAAGAACAAGGTAAACAACATGAACCACCATGTATAATAATGCGAGGACTGTAAAATTTCCTCGCAGGTTAATTTTCCCTATTTTACCCTTTTTTGCAATAGCATGTAAATAAAAGGGAATGTTCAATGTTACAGCTGACACTCATGAACACGTGGACCAATCTAAAAGCCTAGGAAATGATTGCCTGTTGTATAGTATATTAGTTTATTATGTGGTATATGTTACCTCTTGAACAGATATATTAAGGAGATTCGCCTTAATCATTAAATATCATTTACTCACCAACTTTGAGCATGAAGTTGTTATAGGAGTTTTCATTGATGACTTTTAATTTTTCCTTCATTATAAATATGAATTCGACCAGTAGTCCAAGGTAATGGATCATTGATACCTCACTGTCCGACTGTACAAAAGAAGGTCTTACGTTAGTATAATAAATAATGTAACATTAAAAGGTCATATGTGGGTATAAGAATATCATATATCAACTTTCACTTTCAGATAACAAGGTACTCAAAATTATTGTTTATTACATTTTTGCCAGTGAAATATAGAAAAGTATTCTTTTGATAACCGATATTGTCACTGAAATAAGATATATATGGTTTCTACTCATGATTGCAGTTTTGACCATTCAAAGCAATGCTTTCTAGTCAATGCATCAAAATTCGACGATGATTTTCCAGATCGGAAACGGAAAGGCATTAAATATCTTCTATATATCAACAAAATCAGCCCGACTGTGGACAACGAAGGTTTCTTATCAAAACGCCCATACCGTTTTCCATACAGTAAGGCCTATTTTTAAAAAGATTTAAAAAAACTGGCTTACAACGACGGCGATGGAGTTAGGGATGACGAAAGAATCAGGCTAGAATTGCAGTTAGAAGGTAAAGTTCTAATGTTTTGCGTATTGGTCTTGTGTTATAGACATATCTTGTGACAATCAAGCTTCCAATACCTTTTGCTATAGCAAACAAAATGTGATAAAAGTTAATACTTGATACATAGTATCTATCCTAGAATATCAGGAAAATATCCAACAAAACTCAAGTTTCGAGTTGTCTTCTTACCCACCTGTATCATCATATCCGGCATCAGGCCCACCGCTGCCATGTAAGTACTGCCAATTGTCTTGATCTTGTCGATTCCGCGAAACCGAGGTTCGTTTAGGGACTGTGAATCAGACCAAATAATGATTCATAAACTATTACATCGAAAGCATATCAAACTCTTACATAATATTTTGAAATTGATTTTTTTTATTCGTCGCCATTAGAGAAATGCTTCGCTGTTTATCTCAATACAAATAGGCAAATTTTGTGTAGCTTGCGCTATATATAACAATTTGAAAGAAAAATGTAAACGATTTTGCACTATAAATTATAAAATGATAAGACAATTTTATTTACCTCGTCAAAATCAACTATTATTTCGTTCAGCACCCTCAAACATTCTATTCCTTGGTTGTTTGCAACAAGTTCAATGTAAAAGTCCGAGAAGTTTGGAATGGATGCGAAGAATACTCCGACCTTTGGGTAGTGCTGACTGTACAACGCCTGGAAGAAAAACAAACATTTTTTATGGAATCAACAGTGATGATTTATCAATGTATTATACAACATTTGGTATCGCCATATCTTATCCTACTTTGTACCAATTATTTTAGCACCAGTCATTATTTTCATCAATTTTAAAATTCATATTCTAGATAATGTAACGGCCTTATTACTGCAAAAAGTAAAAAAGAATTCTCATTCACGATTACCAACAGCATCTTTAATATCTTTGAGTAAATCATATCTAAGTTGTTGAAATATATTAAATAATATAAACATGATGACTTTATAATTATTCTGTTATATTTTACAAGGCGCTCAATTGCGAAGTTTCCCGCTAAAATCTACCATATGACTCTTTGTCTGGGTGTCGATGAAGTGAGCGGCTACATGAGCAGGTAACAGGTTACACAGAATTTGTCTGTTATTGTCCTGGAGTTCCGTCATTCCAATCTTTTCTTTCGTGGCCGTCGTCTTCCACAGGAAATCTAGACGAGCTGTCCATTCTTGCTGTCGGCCCTGAAGGTACAGCATCAGCATGAAGGCTATCAAAGCAACGATTCCGATCACGTGACTTGGAATCACTGACCTGTAAAAGGAACACTTAAGAATATGAAAAAAATCCGTTTAGAAAAACACATGAAATTGTTGTAATAATAGCCACAGGTTATTTTGTCAAATGTCGAATTTGACATTGGCCAGGAAGTGAAAAACATAAATTCTAATGAAGTCACACACAGCTAATAATGATACATTTATGATAAAAATAACAGCATCCAAGTCTAAAACCATGTCGATACAGAAAATTGAAATTCCCCCGTATCAATCCATATATCAAACAAGAATACAAGTCACAAATGATATCTCAAGAAATACATACTCTAGGTGAATAATACTAAAGTACTGGAAACAACATCCATGTTGAAATGTAAAACGATTCACTTGTCAGAAAGTAACAGAAAGTACTATCTCGTCATTACATGGCCTATCTAATTCTTTTGAAATGGAATGGTGGCGGATAAGTGTAAATAAAGTGAACTAATGAAATAATAGGAAATATAAGGTCATTCTACTTGCCCCGACTGCTGATCAAATCCATCCAATATTCCCCGGTGGGTGATCTCTATGGCTACTATATAGATGGTAGCCATGATTGCCATCAGGATGAGTTTAACTAGAGCGGCCAACTTGAGGAATATAGACACACAGATGTAGCCCACTATACAACTCAGGAAGATATATGGCGGGATAGAGCACGTGAGGTGTCCCTCATCTAGCATCTGGATGAAATTGACGCTGATGAGAGTTCGATACCCAATCGCGTCACGACAGCAGAACTGCAAGAACAGAATAGACAGAGGTCAAGTGAATCAAAAGAGGTGACTGTCATGTTGATCAGAAAAAGGTCTAGGTCGAGTGGATCAGAACAGGCCTTGGTCCGGTAGTTCAGAATAAGTCATGGTCTAGTGGATCATAAAGGTCATGGTCAAGTGGATCACGACAGTTCACGGTCAGAGTGGATCCTTATAGGTAATGGTAAAGTGAGTCCTAAATCGTAAAAGTTTATGGTCGAGTGGGCACAAAAAGGTCATGGTCAAGTGGTTGAAAGGAGCTCTATATTACACGAAATTGAATCATCTTCTATATTTTTCAATGGCTCCAATGAAACTGAAGCGGTTGACTTACCACATTTACTTGTGATGTCGCATATACTAATACAATGGTTGTAATCATGGTGAAATGTCGCAATCCCGAGGACTTCCGAATGTCGAATAGAGTACACTGTAAAGGAGCAAACAGCAAATATATATCTGCGTTTACAAAGGGAAACAGGTAAATCATATATACCACATACAGATAAAATAAAAACAGAAAATACACCATGTACATATCATGATAACGGTAACAATACAGTTATCCAGTAAAAACCAGAGGTAGTTAATGTAAGACCATAGGATATACTATAGTGTTAACCGAAGGCAGAGTCATACAGAACACATATTCACCAAATTTGGCACATTAAGTAAGATGTAATCAGAGCGTCAACATACGAAGAATAAAATGTAATCTAAAAGCCAACACTGAAAAGCAAAAACAACATACCAAGAGATGGTTGTAACAAAGCAACGTACCCCAAGTTTAACGCTGAGGATAAGCATTAGGACGATTGCGATCCAGCAGAAGGACGCCAGGAATAACATCAGCAACAGTAACGTCCTGGTGGTGAAAACAACAGGATGATATACAGTTGTATTCCTATATAAAGTATAAAACTAGTCATATTTGGGTTACCTACTCCTAACAACGTCTCCATCACTTTATACGATACAATCATATCACTTAAAATCTGAAAGAACGTACTAGAAAAGCAAAAGTTTTTAGGTGAAATTTGCTATTTTTTTCAAATGTAAATGGCATTAAAGAGTTGAAACGAGTCAAGTTGTATGATGAGGGCGACAAGAACGTCTGTTATTTACATTACACGAATTAAATTACATGGATAATGAATGGTTTCATTTATACATATATATTTATGTCTGTACCGTTTAATATCCTATCAAAAGATATGGTTTGGAGTCTGTGAGTACACGCTATACTAAATGAAGAAAGAAGTACCTAGGTAGGATGACGGTTTGAAGTCCGGCTGTACACATCAACATGACGAGAGAACAGATCATACTACTGCCGAAGGAACAATCATCTGAGGCCTGGTACTGTTGAGAAAATAGAGAGGATACACTAATCCGTCTTACTACGTTTTTGACTACTAGAATCTAAAGCTACCGATGATACAAGATCAATAAGAAAAGTGTGAATAGATAATCTAAACTCAAATTAATTAAAAGAAGGACAAACTATGAATAAAATTTAGAAGTACAATGGTTATAAGACCAGGTGTTCCGGAATAAATATCTTGTGATTCATTAGAGAGAAATATTAATCACGGGGGTTCAATCGCGCAATGGACGAATTCTTAACCCGAGTGGTTAATATGCATTAACTAATATCTTTTGTGAAGAGAAGCGTCCTGGATTTGCTCTTGTAATATTTGTATCACGTACAGGAATAAACACTCTTTATTTTTGCAGTTGGATGATCACAAGTTTCTACATGATAAAGGCATGCTAGAAATCATCATCAAGATAATAATCTATTTACAAGTATCCTATATATGACAAAGACGTTTTCCCATTCTTCCATAAAGCAATATGATACAACTTCTACTACAAGTCATAGTGTGGTCTTTCCACACTAGTCTATGGTTAAAATTGTCGACTGACTGTATAGTGTTATTTTGATTTCTGTTGTTTTCATTTCCAAGCATAAGAGTCTACCTAACATACCCGTTTCTCTTTGGAAGACTCCTTAAACCTAAGCGTTATGTAGTTTACATGGTCTCTTTTCTCCTTATCCACACTACGTGCCATCAGAGCGGTGGCAAGGTATTTGTTAGCTCGGTCCTCCATAGCAGGCTTGTTGGAATGTCTATGATAAAAAGGCATTTTTTGGGGGTGAAAATATCAATATAAATAGTCAAAAGTGTAAATATATAGATCTGCCATATGAATACCGAAGAATTCGTGTGTATTCAAAAACGAAATTAAAACCCGAAAAATGGCAAAATAAAAACAATCACAATCACCGAATGAAAACGCTGAAATTGAAAACTATGTGACATTATAAAAATGTCTTGTAAATAAAGTCAAAATTTTCCGTCAGTTAAAGATATTTTCCTTTACAGATATTGGCTTGTTTGATACCAAATTGTTGCCAGTTAACTTTAAATAATATTAGAGACGCTCCACCCTGCGAACCTCATACGAACCTTTCCTTTATCGGTTTTCGGCGCTTGTCCGTAACTGAATATCCGAAAGGACTCTGAAAGGAGAGAGAGAAAATCAGAAAACATTGTCGTGAAAAGAAATTGACACAAATGAAAGTCATGTTATTTTTCAAGATAGCCCAACCAGATAGAGAAAATATTGCAGCATATTTCGTTATCACAAACGAGCACAAAAAGTCATGTCACAGTTTAAAAGTAGCATAAGAATTCAGATTAATCTTGAATCTTTTCTTTTTTCTTGATTCTTATTAATTGTACAAATATTGGCACACATGATGTTTAAGATTGATTCTAATGATATAATGATAATGAAAATCATATAAAAATTGGAAATTTGATGAGTTATCCTTGATTTACGTAACTGGAAATGACAATTATTGCAGTAAACAATAATTTCCGTTCTGTGTTCCTTTCTTATTCCTATAAATGTTGCTACTGGTTATCCGACATAAAGAGGATTTCTGTATTTTGCAGATGATTAAAAACAACTAGAAAGACAGTAAGTTAAAAACAACTAAATGTGTGTAGAATAAATGTTATACCTACAACTTATTTAGTGATATCATATACATGTACTTACGAACGAGCTGTTCTTGTGTTTCTTGGCCTCCTCGTTGGGAGGCGTGAGGACATTAGAGAATGGTATTTCGGCGTTGAACCTAACCGACTGCATCAACCTTACCACACAGTTGGACACGTTGCGAAATGACAGACGCTTTGGTTTGATATTTTCCAGGTTTTTGTCCAGAAAACGGTTCGAAGTCTGTATTGGATAAGAGTGAACTTAATCAAATTTCCTTGATAAAGTAATCATTTTGTTTCTAGACTTTTAACCTGTTTAAGATCATTTCTAAACTACGTTGTTATCAATCAAAATATTTTCAAAATTACTTTTTTTGCAAACAGATATCCTTGTAAAATCGAATATGTAAATTAGCATTTAAATCAAAACCATTTTCGCATTTCAAATTAAACAATTCATATGTTAGGGCTCTTCATTTAGCTTTTCACGAAACAGATTACAACAACAGGTGAAAATAACGAGGAATCATTCAACATTTAATCACTCGATGGAAACTTTAAAACAAAAGTTTATAAACGACCACATTTCTTAATTTGTTGGTCTGAATTGGTGTCCCTTACCCTCCGTGAATGCACTTCCTTGATGAGGAAGGTCTGAACGCCATGTTCCCGAAGGTACGGGTCCCGATCCCCACCGTTACCAGGTTCTACTTCGTACTGGTCATCCAGGTGTCTCAGGGTCTCCTTAGTCAAGTGGACACGTCTGGGGAGCAAGACAATTTAATTAGAATATGATGAACACATAGAGAAGCCGACATTAGGAAAGGCCAGAAACCATTAACGTCATCGTATTTTACTATCAAGAGTAGCACTTAGGTATCAGTGTATATAACATGAATAACGCTAGAAATAACCAACGTTTTAATTGAGATATTTCTGACAATACTGCAGGCATTGTAATAATTCTTACGAGGAAGCATTAGATTTTATAGTATATACTTATATATTTTTGTATTCACTATAAACATGAAAAGATAAAGACATCGACAATATATCAATTTTTTTTGTATAATTCTAATATACAATTATAGCGAAGTCTAACTGAAATTTCTAGTAAATTGTTATACAAATCATAGAAAAGGGAAAAAACGTTAACAGGCTTAAAATAAACAGTATTTGATATCAAATGATACCTAGAGCACGCTGATACAAGGTAAGTAATATCATGATACTTTGTACAGCATGGGTGAACCATTCGCCTTCACCATCACAAAGGTTTACCAGAACGAAATGATTAAGACAATTAGAAATAATATTATGTATCAGTGGGAAATATTAGCCATACATATGTTGATGATAGCACTGGAATATTCATACAAAGTTAAATGCTTTATATTTAGTACACAATATCCTATTCAAATAGCTACAGACGCAATGTCATAGTTCGATAGGTTTGTTTTTCGTTAACATTAAAGCTGGACACATTATTAAGAACAACATACATGTTTATGCAAATTAGATGTATCACAAGAACGATGTATAGTTGTAAAACTACTAGACCATAATACATAGTATGTACTGTATATAATCTACAAGTGGTGAAATATGGGGTATTAAGTATTAAAGTTATAACCCGTAACAGCAGATGTATTTCTGAGGTTTCCATCGATTATAAAGAGAGAAATGTACCCTGGAACGCCTCCGGATTCCATGTGATTTGCCAAAGTTACATCATTACTCCATACATCATACTGCCATTTCTTCAATCCGAGGACTCCACACAGGACTCTTCCAGTGTGCAGACCAACGCGCATATTCAGTCGTGCATCGCTTGTTTCGCACACAGAGCTGCAACAAATGATGATAAAAATCATATACATATGGAATGATAGTCTATTTCTGATGGTTGGCTTAGGTGAAACATATTTTGCTTATATAATTTATAACCGATTCATAACTGATCTCAATCATGTGAACTTTTCAATTTGCTAGATTTTTTCCTTACTTTGAGATCCAGTAAAATATTAACTGAATTTAACGTACAATCACTAGTAAGACAATCCTACTGACAGAACCAAGAATAGGATGGATGACCCAAATCACACAGTTAAAACCATAAAAACACTATAATGAAACAAAACTGGGTTTTGTATGATGTGTTCCAGACAGAGCCTGGAGCTAATAAGCTAATTATATTGCCAAGTCAGAATTGCAGGTTCTACACCTCACTACCTTAGAAAAACATCCCAAAGTAGTAGACCTACAAACGCACTTCATGGAAATACGCATTAACGATGAAATGCGGTATAGGTAATGATGAAACGTGTGTTGGCAGCTTAAGGAACGAGACCCTCAATACACGGTGACAACGTAAATCATTTTAATCAGCAACTGATACAGTTACCAATTAGCTCATTGGTGAAAACGTGGCCTTCAACCACGCTTTTCACACTTATAAGAGCTCCTAAAATGACCACAGCATTTCCAAGTTATTGTGAAGATAGTCGCAAATGTTCAAAACAATATTGTTCTATCTTAATATTGATCCCAATTGAAAAATTTCAAAATCTTAAAACCAGGTCAAGCATGTTAGTTCCAAGAAAAAGAAAGTAGACGGTGCAAAATTATAACAGGTATTTATGTCATATTTTCAAATGAATTATCCATATTAAAAAAATAACAAATACACTGTCTTTCTACACCGGTTTGTCGATCACAACAACACAATTACCAAACCAGATTTGTACGGGAAAGTATGATCACGTCTTTACTTAATGATATTAATATATCATGTAAGGGGACAAAAGATATAACATTAAGTGTATACAGAGAAATAAGTACACTTTCCACCTGCGATATCTTTTTTAAAAACAACAAAGGGAATACCGACATGTCAACATAATCCAAACTCAATTTTTTTAAAAAAAAAACTACAAAAGAAAGAATTACATGGTGACTCCTTGAAATACAAACCAGGTGTTTTGGAAGAGTAAACGTCTTCTGCTTCATTAACGACACTCAAGAAAGGCATTTTTTAGAGTTAGGGTCAATGCATCTCTCCCTATTCGGTTTTTGACGTTTATTTTGAACAGTGTTGATTTCATTTCCTTTTCATCGACGACACTCACAATGTCAATGCTGGTCAATCCTAGTAGGTAATGTCACATTCTCAAATGAGAACAAGGTATATAACAACGGAACTAACTAACAGGCAAACAAACGAGTATCAAACACATCAAAATTTTAAATAGCATAAAGAAAAGACATTTTTCAATGAAATCACTATGACGAACGTAAAACTTCTCCATATTTTTCATCAATCTCCATCACTGAAACCCTATGTTACGAGATTGTTCGTCAGTTGACGACTTCTTGCACGAAAATCGTCATAATGGGAACAGACCCTTAAATATCGAATCAACTGCGACATGCAAACGCCATAGGTTTGGGGCGCTATCCAGAAATGAGAAATTCACAATACGGAAAATGAAATCATGGCGCTTATAATAAAGGTTGGTGGAAAGCTATCCATGCGGTTTCGTTGTAGGAAACTCTTGCTAATTGAACATTTTTATTATATATATATGTTTTTTGTGTGGGAGGGATAACGGGATGGGGTTGTAAGACAACAATCAAATAAATAGAATAGAAAATAAGGTGGATTATTTTGATAAGAAAAGAATAATAAAAGACGGACTGGAAAAATTATCTACAGAAGGGAGTGACATTGGTATTGTTTACAGGTGTTTTCAAACGAATGTTTCCTCTTAAGCAGTTAATTTGAGGAACATATCTACTGAAAGATTGTTGTCGTATGAGGAATAATGAATGACGCATGGGTGACATGTGAAAACATAAACAATAAAAGGACGGACTTAAAACAACACTATAACCTAAGTAACACTAGAAAGTTACAAACTATTAAAGGCCCAAGTCAAAACACTGCTCTCACATAAGTAGCATTTGGAAGTCTTTAACACTTGGCAGGTATACAAAGATAACCGGCAGAAGTGAAGGGCAGTAAAACACTACATACCATGACAAAGGGTATTTGTTTAACTATCAAACGATCTATGAAGATTCGACGAAACAGATTTTGTTATTACCATAGAAACAAGTGTTTATAGATAAAGCATCTGGTGAACTCCAATGTGGCTCCCGTAATTTTTTTGTACTCGCGTTAATTAATATTCTCATCAAAATACATACACAACAGTATATATATATACTGAATGCAGTAATTTGTAGGAGTGTCCGAATTTTATATTCTGACAGGGCAAATTATCCTGGCTCATCTCCAGAAAAATATGATTCAGTATAATATGCAACCTAAGTGATTGTGTCAGAAGTAACGTTAATTCTCTGTTTTGTGGATGTAGTCGTCGTTTATACGTTGTGGTAGAAGTATTAACGTTACACGGTAAAAATATCACGTACTAGATTGTACATTCCAAGTTCCGTCGTACTTGTTTCAAAGGACAATAGCTGCAGGGAAACCGTGTATACATCATGCTCTAGTTATGTTTAGTTCGTCAATAAAAACTGAAGCTTTCGAGACGGTAGACTCATTAACTGAACAGGAAAGAAAACGCGATAATCTTTCAGAGTACAATGGCGATATTTTGTAAATACATATCGGACTGAAGCAGTTGGTACGTAGGAATACCTCTGAATAATAGTGGCACAGCAAAACAAGTATCGGAACAACTATAATACGGGAATCGAAATTAATCTACTAATTATTAGTTTGCCTTTAGTTAGGAGAAGTCTTTAGATTAATTCGGAGGAGTAAAAGCGCACCTGCATCATCAAAATGTTAAGAACAGAAAGACAAACTGAATTATATGTACAAATCTACTTGTAACAAGACGGGTAAAAGAGCACCTGCATCATCCAAAATGTTAACAGAAAGACAGGCTGAATTATATGTATAACCCTATTTGTAACAAATGGTTATCAATAGACTATTGCGTGAAATTCTGATAGAAAAAGTACGTGACTATTCACACAGGAATAACTGTGACAACCGAACACTATTTATTGGTCGTACATAGAGGGTGTCGATGTCTGGTGTCCTGACAGGAGGTCCCTGTAGTGGGTGTAGATGTCCCCTTCACATACGTCAGAAATGAGAGAAGTGTTCCCTTTGTAATGATAACGCTGAGGTCGTCAGTTATAACATCTGTGTATGTACAGTTGTTAAATACCGAATGTACTGAGGAGCACCGCATGGAGGAATGTCTTTACGTGTACTTATTAGGAACATACTTGTTTAGATATGTATACTGCAGATAAGCAGGACTTTGTCTTTAGCGGAACTGAAAGCATTCACAGTACGCATATAACTAACCTTGAATTCTAGTTCATTTATCAAATAACAGCGTGACACTAACGTCTACGGAATATTGAATTACGTGCACATTTACGATCCGGGAACTCTTCCCTTTTCAGGGTGATATATATACAAGACGACATTTAGTGCGCAAATGTCTGACTAAAATAGAATTTGTTCTTTCAACTTTGTCTCTCCAAAAATGGCGCCTAGCATAGAGGCTTACTCCTTTTCATCAATGACTCGTCTGTTGTCTACTTTCATTCTAGGCCATGAGAGGTGCTTGACTTCCACTAAGCAACAGTAGGTGGAATAAACACCACTCATCAAAGGCGCGTGGATTGGTCATGATTAGTTCAAAGAAACGTATTAATTACAAAAGTTACCCACACTCTCGGTACTTCGTTAAATCGCCGAGGGGTATTCATCACTCCGTACACCGCTTCCCCGTCAGAATCATTACTTACCGTATCTCAATACACGTGAAACAGTGACCTTACGTTACTAATCCGTCTCCATTTGCATATTCTTGTCTACACGTCCAGGTTTACAGATGGTCTTTGTTCTATTGTCTGTCTATCTTACCACACAAGAGATGCTGGCTGCTGAATATTGTGGGGTAGTTTATATCCGGAACCATGATTTCAAAGGGTAATTTACAACATAAGATTATATATTCGATCTTTTTTAATCTAAGCAATTTCTCACAAGTATAGATTGAAAGTTGAATTGCGATGAACGCTTACTCTTCCGGAACACGTGAACCTTATCTCTATGATGATCTTTTTAGTTTCTATTTTACCCGTTTTTTAATTTGACTTAAGATTTTGTTCTTATCTCGGTATTTTCGTGATGTTTAAATGATATCTTCCCAATAAGAGGTTAATCCCGGTTGTGTGTTTCTGTGTGGGATTCCATACTCGTGTTCATTTTATCTCATATCACATAAAGACGGTAAACTTTGAGATATCGCTGACTACACAACAATACCTGGGGAGAGTGTGACCACGACCAGCATGCTTCCCAACGGAATGTATAAAGGTGAGATAATACATAGCTATGGTATTTCTGAAGTGTTTTGTTGTGATAGGGATTAGGAAGGGCTGTACTATTGACGGTAAACTCTTCATAGTGACCAGTATTATGATGTCAATGTTGATGTTGGACTTGTGATAAACGGTGACATACTGTTACTCAGAGTATGCATCATTTCACACCTGCCATCTCAATATCATTATAACGTTCAGTGGCTTCTTTTGGGATTGCTCTCTGGTGAAATTAATTATCTCAATTTAAACGCCATATCTGAATTAAACTCTCTCAATTAAAACGTCATATCTGAATTTAATTATCTCCATAAACACGTCATATCTGGTCAGAAGAAGGAACATATCCGACCATGGCGTTGGTGACCTGGGAAACACTATCACAAATTTGGACCGATCACCGAAGAGCTCTCTCATCTAATCAAAGACTTACTGTATGGCGTCTATCATGTCCAGTCCCATATCGACACAACATTTTGCATGGTCAGCTCTGGCCTCTGGTAGTCCACTCACACAGTAATAACAGTCTCCCAGAATCTTGATACGTATATTATGATTCTTCTACAAACATAAATACAAGCCTGGGTACATACGGATGTGAGCGGATAGACAAAATCAACATGGATATATATTTTTTTTCAAATATCACTTGTTGTTTTACCGTTACTTCACAAGCAAACAATTAACTAAATAATATGTTTAATGTTTTCAATTGTACAAAATGTGCATTGTCTCGCGCTGGTAACAAAACAATAAACAAAAGGGATGATATGCGTAGTTAAAAAAAAAATAAAAAAAAAAAACTAAACTGTGTATATATTTAAATCAAAGTCATATCAACGTTTTGTTTGTGCAGTGTTTACCGTGGCTAAATAATCGAAGCGTCCGAACAATTCGTTGAGGATACGGACAAGATCTTGAGCGGAGCAGTGTGAAGACAAGCTGGTAAAGCCTACTATATCTGCAAACAGGATACTGCAAAAATAATCGTAATGGGTTAAATATCGTCATTATTGTGATTAGATGATACTGAACTTTTCTTATTTCAACTCTGATAAGTGTGAATAAAAGAATGTACATTTTGTATAATTAGAAAATCTCAGTAAAATATGTATGCTCCAGCAGCAATGTATATCGGGTACCCCTAATTGATTCGGAATAGTGGATGAATTATATGTCCCCTCCATTCCATAAAAATGGCAAAACTAATAGTAATAAATTATAAACAAGAGGCAAACAATGCCCATATTACTATTAACTTTCATTCGAGACTAACATAGTGGCTGGATCAGACCCAAATTATGAAAGTGTCCTGTAACAAGGACGGTGACGTGAAGGTTTTGGCAATATTCGACAAATAACTACCCAGAATCACTTCCAGTTTTCCAGAAGAAATCTGCTAATGATCAACTCTCATTTGTATACGTATGCTGTTAAGGCAATTGTGCGTCGTGAGTACACCAATCAGTATGTGGGGTTGGTGACGTCATTGTTTTAGTAAGCTCAGTGCCCTGTGGATATCTGATAGGTATTACACAATCGTACAGCGTACCTGTCGGTGTCATGTCGCTGTATATGTATTGCAAGGTCGTTATCATACCTGACGTTGTCGTGTCGCTGTATATGTAATAGACGGTAGTTAGCGCACCTGACGTTGTCGTGTCGCTGTATATGTATTGCACAGTCTTTATCATACCTGACGTTGTCGTATCACTGTATATGTACTGCACGGTCGTTATCATACCTGACGTTGTCGTGTCGCTGTATATGTATCGCGAGGTCGTTATCATACCTGACGTTGTCGTGTCACTGTATATGTATCGCACGGTCGTTATCATACCTGATGTTGTCATGTCGCTGTATATGTACTGCACGGTAGTTAGCGCACCTGACGTTGTCGTGTCACTGTATAAGTACTGCACGGTCGTTATCATACCTGACGTTGTCGTGTCGCTGTATATGTATCGCACGGTCGTTATCATACCTGACGTTGTCGTGTCGCTGTATATGTATTGCACAGTCTTTATCATACTTGACGTTGTTGTGTCGCTGTATATGTATCGCACGGTCGTTATCATACCTGACGTTGTCGTGTCGCTGTATATGTATTGCACAGTCTTTATCATACCTGACGTTGTCATGTCGCTGTATATGTACTGCACGGTAGTTAGCGCACCTGACGTTGTCGTGTCGCTGTATATGTATTGCACAGTCTTTATCATACTTGACGTTGTCGTGTCGCTGTATATGTATCGCACGGTCGTTATCATACCTGACGTTGTCGTGTCGCTGTATATGTATTGCACAGTCTTTATCATACTTGACGTTGTCGTGTCGCTGTATATGTATCGCACGGTCGTTATCATACCTGACGTTGTCGTGTCGCTGTATATAGATCTGGTGAAATTGTTGCATCTGTGGATTTTGTGTGATGTTCTTTTTAACTTCGACAGCAATATGTTCTGGTAAAACACTGAGGAGCAACTTTTCCTGCAAAAAGATAAGATTTAAACGTCCGACAATTCTCTGTGTTAAAACTTATTATCATCAACTGTCAAAAACAACATAAAGGAAAACAACATGTCAATACAATACCAAAATCAGGCCCAAATTCGACGAACTACGGCAAAATAGGAACTGAAAAGTAAGGTCAGATTTGTCAAACTCGACAAAATGTCGACAAAGAAATGATAAAATAAAAACCGTACATGCAATTTTGTTATCACATATTCCTGTCATAACAATCTTCTCACTACATCAAAATTGTACTCATAGAAGTGCGCGAGACCGATGTAATCGTTGAACGGCATCCTAACAGGTTTGTTCTAATATGATATTTATGCGGTCAAACTGCCTCTTTGTCACTGCCGATGGTGCATTTTAATGACAAGCTCCCCATTACATAATCTAGCAGCTACACAGGGGCGTGAGAATAAGCTACAAAACCAGTTTGATCTAAATCCATTGACATCCTCTTGTACTACAAGAGGGACGTTGTCACAATGTACCATCGAGAATCAGAAGATATGTAATAGTTATCTGGTATTGTTCTTCTGTCATCTTTCACATTCCTTTCTCTCATATTTTTTCTTTATTTCTTGTGTAGTTGATTTCCTCATATTCACTGATAATCATTATGTAGTGATCATAATTATGCATTAAGGAGAGAGTGTTATATGTAAGAAAACAGTGTGCTTAATTCCACTGAGATGATGCAAACCACGAGGTCACGTGCGCCCGTCTAAGACCGTATTAAAGTAAGCTAAAGGTGAGACCGCAATATATGTATATGATGATGTAAGGACCGTAAACCGATGTAATCGGCGTGTACTTTCCTTATTGTTGATAGTGGCAGTCTAGTGTTGTAGTGTCAGCCAGAAACGCTTCATTATCCAGTCAATGTAATGGCGGAAAAGATTACTGGCTTCAGGTTTTCCATGATAGGTTTTTGTAAGAGTGCGTGCGATTGAAAGATTTCATCTTGTAAGGACTTTATTTATTATATAATCCGTGACATAATTAAAACAGACAAATCCGTAGAAATACGTCCGCTCTCTTCATCTTTTTATCTGAACACGTAGTTAAATTTATCGAGGAACTGTTTATGAAAAGTAACAAAGACCATGCCTGACCACCACTGACAGGAAATGTCCTCAGTATTCCCTTGTACATCCATCGGACCTACACACTAAGACTACTAAAAGCTCTACAACATCCACTAGGAGCCTTAGTTGGTAAGTAGACAACATCTCGGTCAGTATGTTGTATGATGAATTCACGGATTCAAAAATTTCGAACACGGACTTTCCTTTTTTGACAATAACAGTCCACGGTGCTTCCACTCTTAACAAACGTGAACTAAGAATTCTGCGTTCGAGAGATGAAGATTGAAGACTATTAAGTTTTATAATGCATGAGGATATAAAAGGGAATTTATATAAAGCGTTTGTGCGATATGGAGTTGTTAAATGAATATCGGGATCAGATCTAGAACGCTTGTAAGATAAGGAATTATTCAATGAATCTCTGAATCGAATCCAGAGAGCATGTGCAAAAGGGATCCGATCTAGAGAACAGAATAAGCTACATCACATTATTAGTCATTCTGATGACTCTACAGTTAACACAAGTCTGTTTAATGTCCTTATTTTCCCTGATGATTCTACAGTTAAAACAAGTCTGTTTAATGTCCTTATTCTGCCTGATGATTCTACAGTTAAAACAAGTCTGTTTAACGTCCTTATTCTTCCAGAAAACATCGCGTGAGACGACACTGAGATCAAATTGTCTTATACAAATGCTCTGAATGAAATCGGAACCAGAAGATGTAATCTTTTTTAACAGACCTGCTCACACGTTACTTGTATAACAATATCGCTTGTAGGAAGATATGACAACTTACCAGTTTTTCATTCTCGTCCTCGATGTCCTGACGGGCCGCTATACAATTCCTTGTGTCAACAAAGGTCTTTCGTTGTGACCGCTGAGTGATGTTATGGATAAAAATACCAGCCACATTGACACACAGGAACAGGATCCCATTGGCCACCAACTGGAAATACAACAAAGGTATTGATAAAAATTACGTTATGTTGTTATCTCTGTCTTCTTCTTTCGACGAAAGCTAGCAACATAAGAACAATGTCCTTTAAAATGCTTCAGAGCAAAACAAATGTGGAAATAGTTGTCGGAAAACAACCTACAGTTTCAATAGGTGCAGCCATTCTTTTGTGACAAACGGGCAACATGAATTTTCCTCATAAACTGAACAAATATTTTTATCTTATATATGGCATACTTTTGATGACAACTTTTTTTTATCAAAGTCACCTTAAGCTCAATGCAAGCACAAAAGAACGAAATAATGATTCGCAATTTAATGTTTAAGGTACTATCAAGGAACTACCCATCAAATCCATACAAACATAAACATAGTGGTTTTTCTTTCCAATCTTCAGTGATGTTATACACGTTTTCTGTCAAAACTACTGAGCGAAAATGTCACAGCCGCATGGATGATTATAAAATTGCTGTTCTGAGATTTCAAAATGACAGGAAAATTAATCTAAAGCAGCGTTCTTACTGCGCAACAAACTTTTCAATGACGTGCTAGTAACGATGGTTGACAGCAAAACATTTACTTATTTTAATTTTTTTCAAATGTTTGGCTGTATTCATATATTTAAAAAAACACACAATTACTGTGACAGCTTAAACATGATGTAAGTTCATTTCTGAACACATAAAATATAACACTAGAAATTTTGTCCGAACAAAATACAATTTATATAAAAAGGGAAGTTTCTGTCAGATAATTGAAATAGATGTATCAAATTATGGAATTTCGAGCCGAATTTTCCGACTACGCTAAAGTCACCGTCACTATTATGGGAAGGCAAGTTCGAAGGAACAGCGAAAACCAGCTGATGTTGACAGCCTATTTGCGACATTTAGACGTTACCAACCAATGAGTGTTGTTTCCCGTTATCAAGTCCTACACAATTTGCAGATGTAGAAAATCATGGAATCAATTCTCCATTAAGACGTCACTGCCTATTCACAGTAGGGAATAACAACGTCTTTGAGATTACTAAATCCATTTCAGTCGCCCGCCATTAAGGGCGATGGCAATTTCATCAATGTCCTGGCCAAATATCAGCCAGATTTCCAGCTGGAATTATCTCCAAGTCTATTTTTATTACAATCTCAACTCGATTTTTATTAAACAGTTTTGTAAATGGCAGATGGCTTTTAAATAAAATGTGTATACATGTATATATCTTTAGAACGTAACATCTCTGATATGGTGACATTTTATGAATGACGATAATGTTTTCAAGTAAGTGCTTTTAGAACCCGATCGCGTGAGGAAAACAATCAACATTACATAATGGATTAGTGTTGTTACGTTGTCTAAACATGTTAACAAAAGCTTGTGTAAGGATAGCACTAGATAGAGCTAAAACCATTAGCCATTTCCTTTAGTTGCGTTAAATAAATATGTTTCGTGCTATTTAAGATCAGTGCCGTGTTGTCTACATTTAAACATCGTTTTTCACACTGGACATATGCCGTTTTTCTTGAGAGTAGATAAGGGACGGAACATTTAACCTCTTGAAATACGTATATCTATATAAATAAAACAATTTTTTGTTTAAAAAAACCACTTGAATGTGAATAGCACCGTTCAATGCATCCTTCTATGATTCGTCGGTGATATGTGGGGTGTAAACAATACAAACTGTTGTGTTATTTACAACATCAAAATGCAAAATAAAGAAACTGTATTACATTGTACATATAGACTACAACCGTATTATATCAAAAAGTACAATAACAGAGGAAGAAAAAGCTTCTCACGGAACTAAAAACATGGTATTTAAGTCCTATTTAATACAGAAATATTACAAAAACGAATTTTGTTAAAAAAAAAGAAATAATAATGTTTTAAGGCAAGTGTTTGTGGTGAGCAGAACATTTCATAAGAGAACAAAAATGTTAATTTTATGGAGGTATGCGGATTAAGTATATCAATGTTGATATCTAGAAATATGTGGGTGTGCCAAAGAATAGCATTAGTCTATAACAAAGGAACGCCCGGCGTATGTTATTTTTCGTAATGAATTCCCCATTGTTCTGGCAGCATTAACCAAACGCAGAGCAACAAACTGCTGGAGAAGTTCATTACCGGCATGCATTAGACGGGACGTTTTATCTAATTATTGTAAGAACCCTTTACACTAGGAACAAACAAGTCTTTTATTCTGTTACCTAGTTTGTACTGCGGGGTTGATGAAAGTCGTTGTAGACATGAAGTGTAGGCAAACTATCGATACCCAACCTTGAACCACAAGCAATGAACAGGAGCATTTGGGCGGATTTAGCTCACAATCTCAGAAAACAATATACTTTGTATAACCATGAGATCAGGTCCGTCTGTTAATCAAATAGTCAAAGAAAAACTAATCTATTTTCTACACTGCCGTTTGTAGATTTAAATATACGATGATATAAGGATATAAAGCCATATCAACTCAAATTACAGTCAAGTAGGGCACCTGCTACCTGTGGTAAGTCACGACCTGTGAGAGAGACACTTCCGGTTAGTCAGATCGCAAATGGACAAATATTAAGGAATGTAAAGACCTTTTACCATTAAAAAAACGTAGAAATGACAAAATTTGCACAAGTAAGCAGTGAATTCCGTATTTATGTATTCGTAGTACTTCGGAAAAATCTGTCGTCTACTTCGAGAAATGTCAAACATGATCACGTGACACAGATTTAGAGTAAATACTATGTAACACAATGGGTTCCCTAACATACACAATTAGAGTAGATACTATGTAACACACTGGGCCCTCTGTGATACACATTTAGAGTAGATACTATGTAACACACTGGGTCCCCTGTGATACACATTTAGAGTAATACTATGTAACATACTGGGCCCCCTGTGATACACATTTAGAGTAGATACTATGTAACACACTGGGTCCCCTGTGATACACATTTAGAGTAGATACTATGTAACACACTGGGCCCCCTTGTGATACACACTAAGAGTAGATACTATGTAACACACTGGGTCCCCAGTGATACACACTAAGAGTAGATACTATGTAACACACTGGGCCCCGTGTGAAACACATTTCGAGTAGATACTATGTAACACACTGGGTCCCCTGTGATACACACTAAGAGTAGATACTATGTAACACACTGGGCCCCGTGTGATACACATTTCGAGTAGATAATATGTAACACACTGGGTCCCCAGTGATACACACTAAGAGTAGATACTATGTAACACACTGGGCCCCCCTGTGATACCAATTTAGAGTAGATCCTATGTAACACACTGGGCCCCCTGTGATACATACTAAGAGTAGATACTATGTAACACACTGGGTCCCCTGTGATACACACTAAGAGTAGATACTATGTAACACACTGGGTCCCCTGTGATACACACTAAGAGTAGATACCATGTAACACACTGGGCCCCGTGTGATACACATTTCGAGTAGATAATATGTAACACACTGGGTCCCCAGTGATACACACTAAGAGTAGATACTATGTAACACACTGGGCCCCCATGTGATACCAATTTAGAGTAGATCCTATGTAACACACTGGGCCCCCTGTGATACATACTAAGAGTAGATACTATGTAACACACTGGGTCCCCTGTGATACACACTAAGAGTAGATACTATGTAACACACTGGGTCCCCTGTGATACACACTTTGTTTGCGCAAATTTAAATGTTTATGACTGAAGTTCTGAATCTGTTCAAACAAATAATCAACCATTTTAAAACAAGCTTTCCAAAATAATAGGGTCATATTTTTGACTGGTGTTTTTTTTCTGTTCCTGAGCATGATCTGCACCCGATCGGTATAGCTGATGCTCATTCGACCTAGATTCCCAGCTTTAAATGTGTTCACAAATTTATTTTTGGTGCGAACTGAAATATGCAACGTCTGGAAAATGTATCTGCCGGAAGGGGTTAAGTGTGGGTGAAATATGACTTTTAATCATTTAATAAGTAGAACATTATCCTCCCAAGGTCACGGGGCAAGTGTGTTATGTTTCTCAATCATCGGCAATGCACGTGCGCGCATTTATCAATCTATAATACTATCTGGCATCCTGTTTGTGTCTTTGTACAGAAAGGATCCTTATACTTGCTCACAAGCTCACAAAGGGCCAGGGTCCATCATATATCCGTATCATATGTATCTAACTGTGAAGACTCTCGTATTCCGATATACAGGAGATAATGGCAGACAAAAGAAGTATTTTCTACTTTCGGTTTGTACTGACCTATATATCTCATATCTGTCACGTCTCATCTGCCTACGGAGGAGATATGTTTTAAGAAAAAAAGTCTGCGTGTGTAAAGAAGAATGGAACCAGAACAGTGAGCTCTGGAGCGAGATAAATTTATTGAAAGCATCACTATAAAAAGTGAACATTCCTGATTTTATGACAGACTGTCACGATAACTGCTGCCGAACAGATATAATTACGATTGAAATCGACAATTAAACAAAGTAGACTCATATGTCAGGGAATATTCACGTCGTGACGTCAGATACATTAACCTTACCAGGGAACATTAACGTCGTGACGTCAGATACATCAAGCTAACCAGGGAACATTTACGTCGTGACGTCAGATACATTGATCAGGGAACATTCACGTCGTGACTTCATATACATTAACCTTACCAGGGAACATTCACGTCGTGACGTCAGATACATTGTTCAGGGAAGATTCACGTCGTGACGTCATATACATTGATCAGGGAAGATTCACGTCGTGACGTCATATACATTGATCAGGGAACATTCACGTCGTAACGTCAGATACATTGATCAGGGAACATTCACGTCGTGACGTCATGTACATCAACCAGGGAACATTCACGTCGTGACGTCATATACATTGATTAGGGAACATTCACGTCGTGACGTCAGATACATTGATTAGGGAACATTCATGTCGTGACGTCATATACGTTGATCAGGGAACATTCACGT